GCTGCACATAAAGTAAAAACCATAAAAGCGAGAAAATCTTTCTCGCGAAACTTTCACTGATTTTTTCTCATTCCAACATTGAAGCATCATAGAGTCAGCTCAGTTCATGTTACGTATGCACATGGAAAAATCATTGATTTTTAATTCGAATCAACATTCACAACACAAAACATGAATCCATTGAAATGTTTAGTAATTGCACAAAAAAGAAGCTTTTCATTTCCTCATGTTCATGTATGTCGTGATCATTTTGCATATCATGGCAAATAATACAAGTTGTGTTGCATGTTGAAAACTTTTCATATAAATAATTTTTTTTTTGAGACCTGCTTATCGACAATCGCGATCTCATTAGAATAACATAGAAAAAAAAATTGATTTCCATTTCTATTGAAATACTGCTTCAAAATCCCTCACAGCCTTGTATTTTTTTGCCTTTTAATTCTTATTCATTATTGCTATTTCCATCAACATGTTCTTCTTGCTTCGCGCAAAAATTATTCAACGAACTAAGAGCAGAAAACCTATTTTTATTGTTATATAATTCCTACATCATCCAAGCTTGATTTTGCATTCGACCAAAATACACAAGCTCAATGTTAGTTTGGATGAGAGGGATGGAAGTGGAGAGGAAAGGCGAGAGAAAATTGTTTTTTTTTTTATATTAAAAAAATTGTGTACGGAGAGAAAAGAATAATTTTTATTTTTTAAAGCACAATTTTTAAGGAATTTTTTGAGGAATGTTTGGAAAAAATTTGAAATGTCTGACTGGAGATAGAATATATAGTAAATTAACTTTAGCATTCAGACCTTAAGATCCATAGCTGCGCGTTATAAGTCTAGTGATAGCTTAACGAGCGAGGATTCGATAGACCTAGACCTACAGTTTAAAGTGGGATCCAGAACCACTCTGTTGATGACACCAGAGTTGCGAAATAGGCCACCTGTGACAGGTGAGAACCGTTCAATTCCTTGATAATTTGTATGGTTTTGTTAGAAAAACCTTATAAACTATCAAGGAATTGTAGGGTTCTCACCTGTCACAGGTGCCTGTTTCGCAACTCTGGATGACACTGCTGCATCTAACCCACAAAGGAAGGCTGTGAGCCTTATTTCCAGTCCATATAGTTCGAAAAAGGACATTTGAAAAATTTCTGATGCCGAGTCTCGAACCCTTGATCGCTGTGCCAGTATTGCAATAATTAGGTACCAAAGTACTAAACCATTCCGCCACCGAGCCACTTCAGCTCACTAGATATTATTATTATTATTATTATATTTATTATGGTCCGTATTTAAATTAAAGGACCTTTACTTTTCCATATATTTATCTTTTTAAAAGGAAAAGCCGTCTGAAAAAGTACTTAAACTATTTCAAACTGCATAAAAACCTTTAAAATCAGTTTAAATCTGGATTAAATCTTTTCGTATACGTCTAATTCTTTTAAATAATTCACGACTGAAATTAGCTTTTCTTTATTGTCATTTTTAAGAGTGTCAAAGTCGATTTTGTATTTGTCTTGTTGTTGTTTGTCAAGGCTGCAGCTGAGGATGTGCTTCACCGTTAGTGGTTCCGCACATCTGCAGGTTGGAGTGCTCGTACGTTCAATTAAATGTCCATGAGTCAATCTTGTATGTCCTATCCTTAGTCTTGTTATTACAGTTTGGTCTTTTCTGTTAAGAAAGTCTATAGTCTTCCATCTGTCAATGGTCTTTTTCAAGCTTCCTAATTTATTTTGTCTGTCAATTTCTTCGTTCCAGTCTAGTTGCCATTTGTGTCGAGTTCGTTCTCTAATGCTTCTGTCAATGTCTGTATGTGTTATAAAGTATTGATGAGAGACTTGTTCTTTGGTTGCTTGCTTTGCTTCCATGTCAGCTTTCTCGTTTCCGATAATACCGACGTGGCTGGGGATCCACATAAAGATAAATGTTGTGTCTGTTTTCATTAGTTGGTCCTGAATTTCAATAATCATTGGATGTTTTGTCTGTCTGTCTTGTATCCCTAATACTGCACTAAGTGAGTCTGTACATAAAGCAACTTTGGCCTTTTTTTCCTGTCAGCAATTTTAATAGCTCTGGATATCGCGAATAGTTCAGTGCTGTACGAATGACACTTATATCTGTAAACGTCACTTCCCTCAATCACAGCACATCCATAGCCATCGTCAGTTTTCGATCCGTCCGTGTAGTAAGGTTCGTAAATGTCTTGTTTTAGTTTGTCGATTTTTTTGTTAAACTCTACTTTAAATACTTCGTCTGGTGTGTTATTCTTGTCAAATCTTGTTAGTGATATGTCATACTTGTGCTTGGTTCTTGTCCAAAGTGGAAGATGTGTTAATTGTGTCTTATTAATCTTTGTGTCATTATCTATATTCAAATTCTTTAGGTCTTGTCTCATTGAGTAAGTTTTTGGGGTTTCGTTCGTTGTGAGTATTTGTGATCTTTGCTGTTGTCTTTTAAGTTTTCATATAATGGATGTTTGGTGTTTGTCAGGACTTTACAGGCATATTTAGTTCGTTGTAAATGTCTTTGATGCTTCATAGGGAGCACTCCTGCTTCAACCTCCACACTTTTATTCGGTGATGTTATGAAAGCACCAATTGCGTACTTTAGACATTTTATGTGTACCGTGTTGAGTTTTTTGTCTTGTTCTTTGGTCATGTTATTTAATGCTAATGCTTAATAAGTATTTATGGAAGTAATTAGTGCGTCATGTAATTTTAGCAATGTTTTTCTGTCAGATCCGGATGTAGTGTTTGAAAGCATTTTTATTACTTTCATGTTTTGTTTCGTCTTTGATGTGGTATTGTCAACATGTTCCGTCAAATTAAGTTTCATGTCGAAAGTAACCCCAAGAAAAGTGAATCTCTTCACACATTCCAGAGTTTGTCTGTCTACTGTAAATTTAGGAAGTACAAGGTTATTTTTGTGTTTGGTCGAAAAAAGCATACATTTTGTCTTGTCGTTAGAGATTTCTAGTCCTTTCTGTTTCATGTCAGTCTTTATTTTGTCAAGTGTCACCTGAAGACTTGCTTCGATTTCTTTAGTGGTCTTTCCTTTCATAAAGACCACCAAGTCATCAGCATAAGCGCAGTACTTAATTGGTTCGTCGATACAATTCAGTATCTCATTGAACACTACATTAAATAGCGTGCAAGAGATAACTGATCCCTGTGGTATAACCTTTTCCATGTGTCCTAATTGAATATTAAAAGTCCTATGCGATAAAAATTTTTGAATATATTTAACTAATTTCCCCTTAAAACCCATTTTAAGTAAACTGTCAATAATAACGTCCGTCTTGATAGTGTCGTATGCTTTTTTGATGTCAATAAATATCGCTACTGTCTGTTTCTGTTCAGTAAAACTTTTTTGTATTTCATTCGTCAAATATGTTATGTTGTCTGTTGTTCCTCTTTTTCGTCTAAATCCTGACTGGTATTCGTTTAGTAAATGTCTACTTTCTAAAGTCCATTGTAATCATCTGTTCAGTATGCGTTCTAGTATTTTACTTAAACAACTTGTCAATGAGATTGATCTATAGTGTGATGAATGTCGGGGGTCTTTTCCAGGTTTCTTAATTGGAATAACCAAGGAATGTTTCCAAGTCTTTGGTACTTGTCCTTTGTCGTAAATTTCATTGTATAGTTCGAGTACTGTCTTTTTTCCTTTTACGTCTAATTGTTTAATCATTTCGTAATGAATGCTCACTAGATATAGATGTGTCAAATTCTCATAAATATAAGGAAATAAGGTTAACAAGTTAGATCTTGTTGACAACCTATTCTTATAGTCAATTCAACTAAGTTTAAAAATCTACACTTCAAAATCTTTCAATATCCATGAAAAATGCGCTTTAACTCCTTCGGTTCACAATGATTCTATTAATATTTCATCATCTACAGGAAGAATGTTTATATATACATGTATGCAGTAGCATTATAAGCCATAATATTGCAAGTATACAAAATGAAAAAGAGAGATATGTAAAAATATTTTTTTCATTTTATTCATCTAGGTGGTAAATCTACAAGGTATGTAGATATTAAGTATAGTATAAGCATATCAATGTGAAGAAAGGTAATAACTAAGTGAGCGAATGCAATAGTGTAATATAAAGACAGAAAATTGAAAATTGTTGAAGTAAAATTGAATAGTGAAAGATTCTGTAAATGTGCACAGGGACGAACCCTTGGAATACTTTTGTTTTTATGAAAATTAACATTATTCATTAAACTTTAATTTTATAGTTTTTGGAGTTTAGTCTGATTTTGTAAGTAAATCAATTCACAAAAAACCAAGAAACTACAACTAAATCTTAGAAACTAGAACTTTAGAATTTGATAATTTGATTGGAAAATTAACCAAACTCATACCAAGAAGCTAGTTTAACCCTTAAAAATTAAACCTTAGTTCTGTTTCTTTAACGTATAACCCAAAAACTGACCTTAGATTTTGATATTCTAATATTGTTCAACTTCTAAACTGAATTCTTTTGAAATCAAAATTTGAAGAAAATCTTCCAACCAATGAAACTAATGATTCTCATTTTAATTATAATTAGAATTAAGATTGAAATTAATTTTAGGATTAAGAATTTTTGTGATTCTGTGATTGTTCATAAACACTTCGAATCAAATCTTAATTTGAATATTTTGACTCAAATACTTAAATTTAAATAATTAAGCTAATCACAATAAAGAACCAAACCCAAATCAAATAAAATCAAAGCAAAAATGTTTCCAAGGGTTCCGAAGAAGAAAGAGTTGCATATCAAGTAGTAGACAGAACATAATAACAATAGAGAATTAGAAAATAGAAGTCAAAATTTATGCATGGAAGTATTTAGAAAAGTTATTAAATTTAATTTATGCTCACATTATTTATCTTTTTTCTTTAAAGTCGCATCATGATGAGATTACACATAGTATTATACAAATAGGAAGGAACTATGATGGAGGTAAGGATGGAGGGGAATCCCTCGAACCGTAAAAACCTTTCTTTCCTATTTCAACTTATTCTGCAGTTAATGTTCTCTCTTGTGGATTTTTACAACAAAAATGATTGAAAATTTCGTATGGGGATTCTTACACACACACACACACACATAGATTGGATGGACGCTAGATTGGATATGCTCGCGACGACAATTGTCTTCTTCTTATTGCCATTCGAAATTTTTCGGAATGAAAAAAAAGAAAAACATGTGAAAAAATGAAAAAAAAAGAAAAAAAGAGAAAATCTCGCTTAGTTATGTAAAAAAAAGTTCTTATTCGATTTCTATGCAATATGGAGAAAGGTTTTCTTCTTCTCTGTTCTGTTCTATATTGTAAGTTCTCTATTTAACATAGTGAAAAAAAAAGTATCGAATTTCCATCAAGACAGTTGAATAGAAAGGCTCTTTATTCTACTACTGAGGTTGAATTAGAACCAAATAGAGAAGAATAGAAAGGAGGAATTAAGTTAGAAGTAGCCAATGATTGATTATTGTAGCGCACTTAATGTGGTTGAGATTGTGAGGTTTTTATAAGAAAATTGTGATCAAGGGCGTAGCTAGTCGTTTAAATTTAACACCTAAAGTCTTCTAGATATAAATCTGAATTTGATCAAAACATAGAAAATACAATGATTGATAGTTTTGTGGTTTAATGTCTTCTATTTTTGAGATGTCTTCAGGATTAGGAATCAATAATATTTTATCGAATAATAAGAATTAATGAGAGTAAGTAACACCTCTGTATAGTAAATCAACAATCTTTCAAATTTTACAGTTCTACAAAATTAAATAATTGCCATAAAAACCTTAAAGAGACAAAGAAGAGAAGTATTTATTACATTGATTAATTAATTCATTGAACGGTCCATTTTGTTCTGTCAACCATTTCAGAATTTTCAGTGTAAGAAGAAGAGAAGACGATAGGAGTTGGGCGAGATAGCTTTCATCATTTCTTCCAGTTCCTTGATTTTTCTTTTTCTCTCAAAATAATAAACACAAAGAACAGAAGAAAAATAGAGAATTGGAATGAATCCTTAATAGATTACTTTGTTTTTGTTTGGTATAACTCATAAATAAGATAAAAGGAGAATTTGATTGTTCCTTGGCAATGATTTCATCACTTCTTATTTTGATTTTTTCGGTAGACCAAATGAAGTTATGACTTTTTAGGGTTTAATTTAGTTTCGTTAACTTATGACAATCAATGCTGATGTAATTGTTGGGACTGAACATCAGTATTGATGTAATTTATAGTTTTAATCGGTGTGACAAAGAAGTTTGGTTGAAAATCAACAATAATAAGTTTAGACAAAGAGAATTGCGTTGCCTAATAAATTAATAAACCCAAATTAGCTTCGAGATTATTAAAATGAGTTTATATCATTCAATCTTGAGATTCCAAAGCTAGAATTGGCCTCGCCTTGTTTAAAAATCTCTGCGTTTAACAAAGGAAGTCGATAACAAATAACGTCTGTTTACTAAAATTCAATATTGCTACTTCAATTAGATCCATAACTGTTCTTTCTAAAACATAGATTTTATTTGAAGTATTCTCGACTCATCTAGCTTAGATTAGACTTCAACAGACTCAACAATGAGCTAAGATGCTAAATTTGGACATGATAAGTTAACAATTCTAAAAGAATATCTACAGAATGTTGACATTTCAAACACCTCCAGACATAATGAGCAAACCTTACAAAACCTCACATTCACATCCACATAAAAGTGCGCTAAGTAGATAAAGAATTAAAATTAACATATTCGCCCTTTTTTTTGCTTCCTTTTCTATTTATGCGCCACTATAGAATCTCTCGCAGAAGACAAGGATGCACAAGAGGGGGGTCGACGTAAGTATTTTTTTTTGTTCCCTTTTCATAATGATAAGTTGTCATGGTGACAAGAGCCGTACAGATGTAACCTTCTATATTGTGAACACACAGATATTCACACTATATGTGATGTCCGTAAGTTTGAATGAATGATTATATATTGTACATATAGAGTTGAGTAGAGAAAAAAAAAATCTATCTATTGGTTACATAAATGGGGAAAAAAAAGCAACAAAGGTAAGAGCTTCTTATTCTGTTAAAATTTTCAACCAAAAAGCACAACTAATCGATAACTGAAAACGTTTCTTTTTTTTCTTCTCTTCTACAGTTCTGGGATTTTTTTTGCTTGCTATATTCTCGTCTTCTTCCTTCTGCTTTATGCTTAACAATTTTATCAAAGTCTTATTTTTATTTATTTTTTTGCTATTTAGCTTTTTTTTTGTCTAATTAATGGCACATGTGTATAGCTTATAGATATATATCCAAAAATAAGAATGAATTATTTTTCTTTTTTATTTTTTTTTTTTGGTATCCTTAAATCAGTAGAATGTGATGAACTATACGTATATACGTATGCATCTCTATCTCTTCAATAGACACTTTTTTTTTCATCCTCGAGGGCACTCACTTTTATATAACATGCAAAAAAAAAAGACTTTTCATTTCATAATACAAAAAAGAGAGATGTATTGAGATGTTGTGTGAAAATTATAATGAATTTGAGGAAAATGAATGAAAATAAAGTTTTGAAAATTGATTTAAAATTTTTTTTCTAACTTTTCTTTTCTCTTTCTTTTTTGTATATTATATTTATATATACTGTCTATCACTTTTCATTTAAAAAAAACTTTTCTTTAGTGGAAAAAATTTAAGGTGCTTTATATTTCGAACGAACGACTGAAAGGACTGAGCGATATTCTGTCGGTTTCGTTCTCACTATAGATAGGATTTCTTTTTTTGTGTGGATGATTTATCAGATTGGCTTTTTTCATTCTCACTCTCGTGAGTCTAAATGTTGGAAATTTTCCATGATTTTTCCAATGATTTTGAGCTTTCTCTCTCAGATTGCTTATGATCTCGGAGCTTGTGCTCGGTTCTATGAATTATTGAGCCTTATCAAATATTTGTTTATGATTTTATTTATGAAATGGGATTGCATTTTCATTGATTTTCTAGGAAACTATTTAAGGTTTTATAAAAGCTTCCAGAATTTTTCAAAAAGCTCAACAATTTGTGAATGTTTTAATTTATTTTGACTCACCATTGATCAGTCTTTCTCGTTCTTGTCTATTCATACTATACTTAACACTATTAAACTGTATTTTCCTTAAAGTTTCATATAATTTAAGAAATTAAAGCTTTTAAAAAGCTCAATGATTAACGACTGTTTGAAATTTAAATGTTTGCTAAGATTTGCTCAATTTCTTAACGTGGAAGTTCACGAATCAATTACACAAACGAATCAGTTGTTTACGAAAATTTTGAATATTTTCGCTTAAAAATGGATTTAATTAAAGAAGGATACGAAGTTCTGTTCATTTGGGAAGGACAATTAATGGATGGAGTCGAGAATCTTGTTATGGAGATGAAGAAAACAGCAAAAGTTCAATTAGAGAATTTGGAAAGAATAGAAATTGGTAAATTAAAAATTAATCACGTTATTCGCATTAATCTAATCTTATCTCCTTTGATCTTCACAGCTTCTTACCCAAAATCCACTTTTGATATCATATTTGTGCATGTCTCGAGTGTTTTATCGTTATTTGATGACTCCCTTAAGAATATGTTGAACTTAGTAAAACCAAAAGGAAAAATTGTGTTCAATTTGAGTCAGGATGAAAGCTTTGAAAAGAGATTATTGCTCTTAGGATATGTTAATGCATCATATAATGAAAATCAAAAGTATCTTGTAGCAGAAAAGCCAAATTATGAAGTCGGATCAATGGTTAAGTTGTCATTCGGTAAGAAGAAAGAAATATCAGTAAATAAAATCTGGAAGGTAGATTTAAATGACGATGATGAAATGATTGATGATGATGACTTATTGGACGAAGAGGATAAAATGAAACCATCAGAGGAATCTCTTCGAGTTTGTTCGACTACTGGAAAGCGAAAGGCATGTAAAGATTGCTCGTGTGGACTTGCTGAAGAATTAGAATCTGAAGTATCAACAAAAATTGTAAATCAAATACAAAAATCGTCTTGTGGAAGCGTAAGTATTTTAAACAGTTGTTGCTCAGTTTGAATTTTATGCCAAAAACTGCAAAAACTATAAGTCTTTTTAAATTTTATTCGACCGTTATTTTTAAAAAATTAAAACATGCTGATAACAGACGAGACACAGCACAGACATATAACTATTTCATAATATCATGCAATAATCCTCATTTCTTCCAGTGCTATCTCGGTGATGCATTCCGTTGTTCTTCATGTCCATATTTGGGTATGCCAGCATTCAAACCTAACGAGAAAGTCATGCTTCCAGAAATGATGAAGTCAGACATCTAAAATCATTAATTATAGCTGAAAAATCTGATCAAAGGAAATAAAAACAGTTTTTGTGAATTTTGCTATTGGGCAATTCTCCAGATAAGTTTTTCAAAAAATCATCCGGAGAATTGATTTTTCTCGAAAATTTTCCATTACCAAGCATTAGTTTTACATTTAAATCGATGTAACATGGCAAAAACTATTATATTTCATCTATTTTAGTCTTTGAAAGTAACCATTAATTAAGTTATTTCAATTTTTTGTCAAAATTACTGTCAGCAAAAAATGGAATAATCATCCGGAGAATCGAAAATTGAAGAAAAGTAAACACTCATTTTTTATTATGATTATGCAGAAATGTAGTTTTTGAGCTAATCTATCTAACCATAATCATATCACACTCCAATAATTACTATTTAAAGAGAATTTTTGATTCTTCGGTGGATTTTTTTGCTGACAGTAAAAAAATTAAGCTTTTATTTTGCAAATCCATGAAAAAAATGCAAAGCAAATATTTCATAAAAATTAAATTTTAGTCTTAATTTAACACTTCATGGTTGAATTATTGTTGATTCAGTTAGAATCAATCGTAATAAACAGTTTAAAGTTGCTTTAAGCAATCAAAACAAAGAAATTGACAAGATATTTACAAAAAAAAAATTGAAAGTAAACAGTAAATGACTTTGGATTATAAAAGCTCTTTTTTCAAAAACTCAACTCATCTGGAGAATTGCCCTATTATAAAATTAATTAATTTTTTCATTTTTATTTACACAAATTTAAATTTTTGCCTTAATTCCTTCATCCAAAATCACAGGTATCAAAATGTTGTCATTCCTTAAAGTATGATTCATTCTTTCGAGCCACAAACGTCGATATAGCATACCTAAGACTCTCACTGAACGAATTTCGCTCCTCATAATGTTGCTTAATTATTTCATAAATTTCTTTATGATTTTCTATAAACCTCTGAAGCCTTAATATTGCCTTTATGCAATATTCCTGTACCTTCTGATTGTTTGTTCTTCCGAGGATGTTGACAGTCATTGGAAAGACTTCATTAAATAATTTTTCCTTCTCATCAGTCAATGGCTTCAGAATTGTGGAAATGGACTCTATTAATAGACATATTTTGTCTATAATCTTCTGATCTGGCTTGTCAGTCGCAAGTGACTCATCCACATACTTTTTAAGCAACGGAATTAACTTTCCTTTAAGCAACATCCTGACTGTAAAGTCCTTATTCATTCGCTTTCCAAGAAGTATTAAGCTCATTGATAAATTTTTAAGTTCTCCATCCTCGAGTCGTTTAATAAGGACATCCAGTAATTTTGGTGCAGCTATGAAAGTCAATGGAAATCCGTACATTTTAGGCAGATAATTAAAAATTTCATGCTCATAAATAACTTTAAATTCTTGTCCTTTACGCCTGTACATTTGGATATTTGTAAGTAGATACATGACACAAAGATCAAGGCTGTCCATCCATTCTATATCTAGACGAATTTTAGACATTTCTAGACCAGACATTTTTTCCCAATCAATATTCGAACTATACTTTTTCAGCAAAACGCTTTTCTTCGGCAATGTCTGTGGAAATGCTTTAATTAAGACGAAAATCATCGGAATTGCTTTAAATCCATAGAAGTAAATGCACTTGATGATGAAATAGAACACAATTGTCGGATCTCCATTGAAAAATAAATCAATTAATGCTGTATAATAATAACTGACATTCCGTAAATAATCTAGTTCCGCTGATGAGTTTTCGCACTTAAAGATTTTCATTTCCAAGTCACTGACAAGCTGATGAGGTAATTTTGGATGCGCTTCTGCTAATTTACTAATTAATAAAATTAATTTCTGCTGATATCTTGGAAGTGGCGGGGCTGGAGGTGTAAATTCAGCATTTATTTCTTTCTGCCATTGATTGTCCTCGACTGTCTCAAATATTGCTTCAACTAACAGCTGGTCACGCTTACTGGATATCTCACAAAGACACCTTTCAAGATTTTCATCTGTCCAATCGGAATTGAGGTAGTTATGGATTGACTTTCGGATCTTACACAGTCTTTTATCATCACTTTGCTTAAATTGTAGATTTTGTTGCCATGTCACTAGCTTCATACGCACTCCAGCATCAAATTCTAGAACTTTTCCATGTGCTGAATTTCTCTTAAGGCTTGTAACAGAATCAAGTGGTATTTCTATTGGCTCATAAGGTACTTCTGTAACAATTGCTAATGATGGAGGTGGATATGGACTTTCTGTACCATTCTCGGCAATTACTGGAATCTCAATTGGCTCGTGCTCAACATCATATCCATCTAATACTTTATCACTAACTGGAAGTGACTCATTATCATTGTCATCTTCTTTTTCAGGAAATATTGAGGACCAAATGAGATCAGTTAAGTCAGCTATTGGCGATATTAATCTTGGTGTTGAGCACATTGACTCAATATTGTCGAGTATCTCATCTGTGTTTATTTCCATCAATTCCTGATCATTTTCTACATTATTGGAATCTATTTCGATGTTTATATCTGGTGGATCGGTTTTGGATGTTGATGGTTGATTTATTTCCGTACCTGATTCACAGCTTTTTGCTAATTCCTCAAAAGCTTCTTCCTCTGAACTTTCTAGACTTACATCCAAGTCAGTAAATGATTTTATAGCTTCTTTTGAATTAATCAGAGCTTTTTGTTTAGGCTCCTCAATTTTGACAGCTAGTTCCTTGTTTTGAGCAATAGATTCTGTACTTTTGATAGTTAAATCTTCACTTTGAACAGTGTGATTAGTCACTAAATCCTCAAACTCTGTATCGATTTCCTGGGAGCTTTGAGAACTAATTTCTAGCTCGCTAAATGTACCCACAATTTGTGCTGGATCTTCAGGCATACTTGATGTTTTTATTGATTCGTTACTGAATTGAGCATTGATTGAAATATCACTTGATGTAGCTTGAGGCTCAATAGCCAAGTCATCAATTTCAGGAATTGGATCAACTAGATTAAATTGTTTAGACAATTCCTGTATTCTCAAATCTTTTGTGGCTATTGATTCATTACTTGAGGAACTTAAAGAAATATTTAAGAGTTCTGCATCACAATTTGCAGGCCTTTCTTCATAATTTGTCTTTTTCTGAACTTTTGTGTCTCGAACATCCTCAAAAACTCTCCGTAAAACATTTTCTTGTACTTCTGAAGACACAAATGTTGGACTGAAATATTCATCGAATGTAAACTCATCAAATCGATCCAATAATTGCTCACGGAGTCTTGCTCTAGTGTTTGCATCATCATTTAGGGATTTATTTGTTTCCCTAAGTCTACTCATGAATAGATTGAACACAGTTTGACCTAAAATTATAAAACTCTTTTCTTCACTGCTTAACATCTTCTTATCATCACTAGTTTCAGGCTTGATTTGGATAACATAATCAACATCTCGATTTACATTATGCAAATCGGTTTGTGTCTCTTTTGATGCCTTTACATCCTCTTCAATTTCATCAGTTATTGGGCTGATACAGCTCGGTAATTCAAACATCATTTCCTCCATGATTTTCTCAAATGTTATGTCTGGAAACTGAATTCCAACATTTCTTGTGACTTTTTTGTTTGTCATTGTGCCTCTATGAGTAACTGAGTGTACTGTAGATGTATATTTACTACATTTATCTACAACTATTGACGTCGATTGATCCTTCATTTGTTTTAAAGGTTCCTGCATGTCTGTTTCTGTTCCAATTGATTTGGTTTCAATCTTTTCCGGAGATGACACTATTGGATCTAAAATATAAGATGGACATTTATTAGAATAAGTTGGATATGAGAAATAACTTATTGACTTACCACTAAAAACATTCTCAATGTCATCAAGTGACTGACTGGCTTCAATATTAGGAATATCTGGCAAATCTGCGAAATCAATTGGATCTGAATCAATCATTTTCTGTGGACTTTGCTGTAAAATTTCGTCTACCATACCTTTGGTTTCGCTAACTCCATCAGAGGAACTTATAAGCTCATCATTATGGAACTCAATTTCGTCACTAAATGAAGGTAAACTTTTTAACGGTTCAGGCTCCAAATCATCTGTGTTGGTTCCAACAGAAACAAGGTCTGGATCTCTTGTAAAAACTTGACATTTACATTGGAAGTTTTTAACAATTTTATTGCTAGCCACAGCAGTAAACGAAGTCTCATTGCCAATTGAAAATGTTCTAAATGAGTATTCAGACTCGGCTGTTGTTTCTTCGGTCACATCATCATGAAATGACATTGGCGAGGACGCTTCCGAAATTGATTTCATTTCCCAAATATCAATTTTTCTACGCTTAATGCTTTGTGTCTTTTCTTTTGAATTTCTCGATCGTTTTGATGCAGTCGATTTTGCATCACTAGGCGTTGACCTTCTGACCACAAGTTTGGGTTTTTCGAACAAATCACCCAATGCATCTTCAAGAAATCTGGATGTTTTACAAAGGAGTTTATTTCTATCTCGTTTGATTTCGAAATTATAAAATGTCGTCACCTCCTCTAATAGGCTGAAATAATCCTGTGCTAATTCGATATGATTCTCGTGCTCATCATGATGCTTTAGTTCCAATTCATCAATACTCTCCCTATATTTGAATTGATTGTTAACATTTGATTTGTCTAGTTCCTCATAACTACTACGCAATTTCTCTAATTCCAAATTGGCACGTTCTAGTTCCTGAAAGGCATTTAGTTTTTGTTGCCGCTCACTTTTGACTATTTCCAAGACTTCTCGAGTCGATGACCGCAAATTATTTAAAACTACTTTTAATCGATTATTCTCATTTTTGAGCTTCTGGATCTGAGGATATTGATCTGTACATGCCGAATCTTGACTTATCTCATCGATATGGGCAAAGAACTCGTCTAAATCCGTTTCTCCCAACATTTTTCCGACAAATAAAAGGTTATGATAAATCAATCATAAATTATCAAATTTCCATGTACTGCTCGTTACACAACTTTACTTTTAACAATTACGATATAAATAGATGTTTAAATACTCGCTAAATCATTTTCTTAGATTAATTAACTCTACTTTTGCAGTTATTTATGAAAATCTTTTTTAATCGTACGAATGTTTACTTTCTGTGTACGATTAAAGCACTGCTTTAAAAACTGAAATTCAAAATTTGAAATTACGTTAAGTATTTACTTCAAAAAAATTTATTATTTTTTTGCCAATTCAATTGAATAATAATTAAATATTAACTTTTATAGCTTTTGGGTGTTGGGTAACAGTGTAGCAGTTAAAGGCTTTAGTTGACCAATGGAATCTGTGACTGCTTTCTCAACAATTATTTCATCTTTTGACTTTTTAAATACCCATTCCTTCTTGTTTATTAGGAATAATACCATTAGAACCGGTAAGTGCAGCAGTGAAAATCTAAATAATTTTCTCGAACTTCCACTGTCTGACTCTTTGTAAAATCTCCATGCTAAATATCCAAAATATGCATTCAAAGGTAGAGTTTCTAGTGCAAACCACATATTAGTAACATCAAGTAACGGTGCGCTAAGCGAAAGAGCTCCTATCACTCCTGTGTATCTTAGTGCTACTCGTCTACAAAGTGCTGAAATTAAAGATTGTTAATAACAGTCCTGAAATTTTTAAAAAAATAAAGGTGCTTTTACAGTACAAAAAGTTAATTTACCTGGATTTGTGACAGCCATCATTCTATATCCCGCACGTGAATAATCAGGCCTTAAATTCCAAGAAAGTGCATTGAAATGTGGAAATTGCCATGCATAAAGTAATCCAGCAAGAACAAAAGCTCCATTTCCAAGAGTTCCACAACATCCAGCCCATCCCATTAAAGGCGGAATCGAGCCAACTATTGATCCTACCCATGTATTAAGTATGCTGTATCTTTTCATTGGTGTGTATATGCACGTATAAAGGACTAAGTTGGTGAATCCTAATGCAGCAGTTAAATCATTCACACCGTGACTTAATATCAATAAACCCGTTGATGCAGCAACAGCAGCAAATCCGACAGCATGTAATGGAGTTAAATAGCCTTTGACAAGTACTCGATTCTTCGTTCGTGACATTTGTGCATCAAACGGCGTCTCAAAAAATTGATTTATGGAATTTGCGGAACCTGATAACAATGCAGTTCCTACAGAGCACATAAGGAAGGTATTGAGATCAAAAGGAGCAGGAGCCATTGCATAGCCAGCCATCGATGTTATTACAACCAGTGCTATAAAGTTAATATTTCTCATAAAACAAGTTCAATTTCATCATAACTTTTGGAACTTACATGTCAATCGGATTTTGGACAGCATCAAGTAGTGTTTGACAAGATTGCTGGCATCTGTTGAAGGTGTGATTCTCCATGCTAATTCTGGTTCTTTTCGAGTTGCCACCTGTCTTGTCTGTGATTTCACTTCGTCCTGAATAATTTTTGCTATGTCAGTTTGTATTGGATGTATTGACGCTACTTTTGTCACTAAAACGTCCTCATGATTAAGCTTGTCATCGTCAATCTTTTTCTGTGGTGCGGCGGATGAATAAAGTAATGTTGTTGACTGTGGGAAATTCTATAAAGATTAATTAAAACTTATTTTTCTTAAGCCTGAACATGTGGATGTTTATTGTTCGGAAAATTGTCATTATTTGATGGTGATTGCTAAATTCCTGACAGAAATATGCCAAATGACTATCTTATCTATCTTAATTAGCTGTTTACTCATCGATAACAATAATATTAGGGAAAATTAAATGTTATTCAATCACTTTTTAATAGCACGAAAAATAAATCACCTTAAATACAACTGTTTTTCTGTTGATTCCATTAAGTAATCTAGTTCTTAATACTACACTGTACATTGTTTAATTAAAGCTATATATTACGGTTATTTAATTCATTATTATACTATTATTAAAGGATTTTTAATATTTTTCTCGATCACACGATTTTTTTTCTTGTCAACTTGAATTTTAAGTAAACTTTGTTATTGTTTTCAAATTGTCTGTCTGATTAAACGAACGAACATGATTTCTAATTCTCTAGGCGCTTTAATCACTTCTTCAATCAACAACTTTCTTACTCAAAACATCCAAGTCACTGATGTAAATTGGTTCTTTTCTTTCGGTCTAGCCTTTAAAAAGCATCGGAAAAAAATTAATTTAATTCAGTTTACTACTCTACGTTGCATTGATCACAAGTAGAAATGTCTAAGCCTTCATTTAAAGTCGGTATGTATCAGATTAGGCAATTGTCAAATCCAATTCATGCGTACTTACAGAGATAATTAATTTCTAAAAGATCCAGCATGTGTCTTAATGGCTAGGTTACTAATTTAATCACTTTATTCCACAGCTGATATCAATCTTGCCGAATTGGGCCGCAAAGAAATCATCATTGCTGAAAATGAGATGCCTGGCTTGATGGCTATTCGTGAAAAGTATGGACCATTGAAGATTTTAAAAGGCGCTAGAATCGCTGGATGTCTTCATATGACTGTCCAAACAGCTGTTTTGATTGAAACTCTCACGGAACTTGGAGCTGAGGTAAGTGTCTATAAATGATTAATTAGGCTATTGTGTTGCTTATAATGGCTGCAGAATTATTTTTATAAACCGGATTTTGGGGAATTTCACAATTTAATGACGCTTTGCATCTATGGCATTAAAACACGAGAGCTTCTGATCTTGTCATTATTATTACGTACGTTATAAATAGCTATGGCTTATTGTTGTCTCGTATTTTGAACTCGACCCCCTCTTAGCATAATTATTTATTTCGTACGAAGAATGACGAACAGCCATGACGATTATCTCAAGACAAGCGAAAATAAGTGCTGATAAGGAAGTGATTTTTTTTTATTTATTATGCTAATCATAAAACGTTTATTTATATAGGTTCAATGGAGCAGCTGTAATATATTCAGTACACAAGATTCAGCAGCTGCAGCTATTGCAAAGACTGGAGTTCCAGTTTATGCATGGAAAGGAGAGACTGAAGAAGAATATCTTTGGTGTATTGATCAGACACTCGTCTTTGCTGATGGTCAACCATTAAACATGATTTTAGACGATGGTGGTGACTTGACAAATCTTGTTCATGAAAAGTATCCTCAATATTTGGAAGGAATTAAAGGAATTAGTGAGGAAACAACAACTGGCGTACACAACCTTTACAATATGTTCAGAGAGAATAAACTCAAAGTTCCAGCCATTAATGTCAACGATTCAGTTACAAAGAGCAAATTTGACAACCTTTACGGATGCCGTGAATCATTACTTGATGGAATTAAGCGTGCAACTGATGTCATGATTGCTGGAAAGGTTTGTGTCGTTGCTGGATATGGTGATGTTGGCAAAGGATGTGCACAAGCTTTAAGATCATTCGGCGGTAGGGTAATAATCACTGAGATTGATCCAATTAATGCATTACAAGCAGCTATGGAAGGATATGAAGTCACAACAATGGATGAAGCATGCAGTGAGGGAAATATTTTTGTTACAACAACTGGATGCACAGATATTATTATGGGAGAGCATTTCGTTCAAATGAAAGATGATTCTATTGTCTGTAATATTGGACATTTCGATTGTGAAGTTAATGTTGCATGGTTGGACCAAAATGCTAAGGAAAAGATTAATGTTAAGCCACAAGTTGACAGATTCTTACTTCAAAATGGACGTCACATTATTCTTCTTGCTGAGGGACGATTAGTCAATCTTGGCTGTGCTAAAGGACATCCATCATTCGTTATGTCAAATTCATTTTCAAATCAAACACTTGCTCAAATTGAGTTATGGACAAAGGGCGAAAAATATCCAATTGGAGTTCATATGTTACCAAAGAAGCTCGACGAAGAAGTTGCTGCTTTGCATTTAGAGAAACTCGGCGTTAAACTTACAAAATTGAGCGATAAGCAATCTAAATATTTGGGATTGAGTCAAGAAGGTCCATTCAAGCCTGATTACTATCGTTATTAAATTTAAAATGTCACCAAGTAAACAAGTTTTTGTATTTTAAGGTTGAAAGCTTGCAAGAATGAATTAAATAATTTTTTAAAGGCCACTAATCCAGTTCTTCTGTTTTTTTAAACCGAAACTTTTCAAATTTATTTTATTTGTTATTTTTCAAATATTCTTTGACAGTTATTTCTGAATTCCCCCCCCCCTATGTTACATTTTGTTACAATTTTTCAACCCCCCCCCCCTCTCCCCCCCTAAAATGCGAACGTAATAAGCGAACGGCCCCTTACTGTCTAAACATCATTAAGCAATTAATGGGCATGAAGTGTAAAGGAGAAACTTCATCAGCAACTACAGACAAACTCCATGTTTCCTTAAATCCTCCATGCCAATAATTATTATGTTCGTTCCAAAATGCAACATCATCAGGAAATTTGTAATTGTAAATGTATTTAACATGCTCACATATTTCCAATTTCAGATTCCATGCTTTGTTTCCTCTAGCTCGTGTTTTAAGCACGTTAAATAAACGAGCAGCCTCTTTTGGTTGAGCACTAATTGTCACAAGCTTATTATTTTTACAGTATCTTATTTCGTCAATAATAGTTCCAATGAGATCAATTTCTGACCATTGAAATGATACTTTCTCAAGACTATGCGAATGACGTCTAATAAAGTGACGTACTTGTTCAATGTCTTCAATTTTTCTCAAAGTAAATTCAGTAAGTTTTGGAAAATGGACACTTTTCAAGACTTTTTGTTCAAATTTTTCAGGCATTCGTAAAACCGTTAAATTTTTCATTTCCTTGCCAATATGCCGAATGATTGTATTCCAGCTTATATCAACATTAATCTTACTCAAATCAATGGACTTTGCATTTGAAAACTTGCTTAGGATGAGTTTAAAGAATCGACTTCGGATATCCATTTTATCAACAACACCCAGAAAATCGACTGATTCAATGGATGATAACTTCTCTGTGTATCTTGCTAATAATTCTGGATGAGAGTCAAGCATCCAATCGTAGCGATAAAAATCCTTAGCATTTAAGTCTGTATGCTTTAAAACAGGCAATTTATTCCAGACGAATTCATAGACCTCAAAAACGTATTCTGGTGGCATGCATTGTAGAATCAATTTCTCCAAAGTATCACTGTGAATCGTCAAAAACTGGAAAAAGGCATTAATGTTTCCTATTTTATTTCCTTGCATCACGAATTGCGTCAGTCGAAACTTAAAGTTGAAAATTTCAGTAAATTGATAAAATAACCAAGTTGCTGACGGTCCTATAGTAAGATTCTTTAACTCTTTTTGTTCCTCAAGTAGTTTGATCAACTGCTTAACGCATGAATAATCGGAAACTCTTGAAAAATCAACAGACAACTCTTTCAACGAATTCACATCCAATGTCTTCAAAAAGTTATCCAAAATAAAGCATTCACCATAAATGGTTAAATTCTTAAGCTTTTTGACTTTTGCTTTCTTGGTAAATGCACGTGGAAATCCATCTAAAGTTACAGCTTTTAAGGCAAAAACTTCTAATTCTGGAAGATAATTGAGTAACTCAACCAATTCCGATAGCTTCATATTAAAGCGAACAAGTTCTAAGGTTTTTAAAGTATGTGGATTGACGACATCCTTAAAGCCTTCAATCATACAGTCATGTGAGTTTCTCGGATTTATTATTACTAAATCAAAATTTCGAGAAAATTTACCGTTCCTGTACTCATCCAGTTCCTTAAAGTCATTCAATGTGAGACGGAACTTGTCTTTAAATTCTCTAGAATCCTTTATTATTTGATTCCACCTGTTAATTAACCGATAAATTAGATCAGAAATGCACAATTATGATTTATACAAACCTCCTCGAAACCCAACAGCTTCTTTTAAGCATTTTTGGACTTAAGTAGCCAAATATATTGATCATGATCTCTTCAGGCAATGAATCAATGCTAGTTTGAGCCATTTTCTTACTTGTTTGATTGACAATTACTCAGAAATTAATTAAATGTAGACTTATATCTCAGCTACTGAAATGTGCTTGACACAACTAGCAAGCATGTCCCGGCATTAATAGTTTTGATTTATATTCAACACAAATTAACAAAGGTTAAGATATTAATACGCTGGTAGCTAGTAGCTACTTTTAGATATTAAGGCAGACTCCAATAGAAAATTATAGAATAAACAATCTGATGCTACAAAAAATAAGAATGTGATCATGTTACAGTACGGCATTTTATAAGCTTTGTTTTGTAGCCAGGTTAGAGGGGGGGGGGGGGGTTGGGGATGTTGGGTAACAAACCCCCTTGTGTGAAAAGAAATTTCTTCATTTTGAAAGGGTTTTTTTGAACCCCCCCCCCCCCCCCCCCCCCTCTTCACCCCTCCATACAAATTTTTTTCGATCCTCCCAACTTTCAAGAGCTTTAAAGTCCAAAACCGCAAACAATAATTTAAAATTCAAAGTCAGCAATAAAATATTCAAAAATTAAAAATCCGTTGGAAAAGTTCAGACCCTTGAAAGCATGTTTCTTCTTATTTCTTCTGGTGTCACATTTTCAACAGCTGTTGAAGCCGTAACGTTTTATGAAATTATGAATAGATCATAAGGTTTCTTCCAAACTACCATCCCCTCAGTATTAATATATAGCTCAAAAGTAAACACACTGAACATTGCTGATGAAAGTTAGAAAATTGAAATTCCATTAAATTTAAAATTAAAGTTGCCAAAGTATCGTAAAGTTTATCAACTCTATTTTACAAAGAGTTTGTATTATGAACTTTAGAGGTAAGGAAAGTGCGGAAAGTTGAAAAATTTCCGAAAGTTAATGTGAAATTTGTGGAATTTAAAAAAAAATGTAAAAAAAAATTTCTGTGTGTGTCGACATAAAATTTTGTTGTTGGAATTCCTATTTTTCCCAATTCTATGAGAACATTTATGCTCGATATTTTTGTCAATAGATCCAAAACATTTATACGAGATTTGAAAATATCAGTTGCATTGAACGGAACAATCCTTTTGGCATTTCGATATGTCTTTTGGGTATATTGGAATGTTTTAAAATTCAAGGCCATTTAGCTTCTCAAAGACGAAATTCAAGAAATTTTTATTAACATTCGAAAGAAAAAAAAATAAAAAATAAAAAAAATATGAAAGAAAAACACAGAAACAAATCACAATGAAAATTGATTTTTAGGCCATTGCATTTTTTTCATCTATAGCGTTGAGCCACTATTTTATAGACTAATGCTTCCCTCGTCATTTGAATTGTTTTTAAAAAATTTTAAACATTACTTAGGCACTGCATCCGATGAGGAATTTGTTAGACATGTACAAAATAATCCAATACTTTGGGACACGAGATGTCAGGACTATAAAGGTATGGTTTGACTCTTTGATGTTATCTTTCTTTTATTTTCACGAATATTAATTTAATTTTTATTTTTTTTTGTCATCAAAAAAAAATTATTTGCATAAACAGATTGTAAAGAGAAAGCTCTAGTATGGGATGCGGTAGGAAATGCTTGTGGAATCACCGGAGAACAAGCCAGATTGAAATGGTGAGTGGACGAAAGTCATAAAAAAATATTTGTTTTATTGACTTGAGATTTATCGTGTTGAGCCATGAGTGATCAGCTGTTGCGACAGTAACAGGATCGGACTAGACTTCCTGTTGTTGATCGTCTCACAAGTGCTTGCGTATATGTCGAAATAATCAGAAATTCGTTATCATTAAATTCCCAAACTGTTATGGGGTTAAAATGTGTGCTAGACCGTACTTTACATTCTCATTCTCATGAAATTTCAAATCTTCTGGAATGAACAAAAAGAAAAAGAATTGAGAAAAAAAAAATTAATCTCGCATAGTTCGGTTTTATTACAACACATCTGTGGTCGTAAAAATATTCGCTTGACTTCGTTACAGCAAATTGTTGCGTTGTAATAATTGAAGGGCAACCTCGACATTGACAAATTTTTATTGTGCTACTCGGGATTCTGGTTTGAAATTTTGATAGAATTTCACTTTTTTGTTTGTAAATTCATGTTTTGGATAATGTCTCTAACAGGAAATTCTCAGAGAATTTTTACATAACATTTGGCAGCTTGTCGAAAAACTTATCACTTAAAAATTCAAATTCAAAATGTTGTTTTGATATGCTGCCAGTGTGGAATAAATTTTTCAAAGAACGGGTCTTTCGTAACAAACTGAGGTTTGCAGAATAGTTAAATAAATAATTTTGAAAATTTAAAAGGTGCATAGTGAGACATGGAAAGAGGACAGTTTGATTGGTGAGAAATTAAGTTATGCCAATAAGTTAAATTAAGTGATGATTCTATTATAAAGTCAGAAACTTTGGGGTTTCAAGAGGGAGTGAACCAGAAGCAGAAATCATTGAAATGAATAGAACTGCGGCACGTGGTAGTGAACGAAAGCCAAACTAGTGGAGACTAGGATCACACTTGATCAGAAAAGCAATATGATTTTTTTATAACTGCTCTATTTCTTATTGGAATTTTCACATGCTGGAGTAAGAATGTTACAAAAATTGATTATAAGTTAGGAATATATGTTCGCGCCAAAATTTCACAAACAATACGAACTCGTTTAACCTTAGACATTTTGATAACACTGACAATTTACTGTCGACATAAATATAAGAACTAGCAAGTTCACTATAAACTTTGTTCAACAAAAGAAATCAGCTCTAATTATTTACCAAAAAAAATCTTCATTTCCAGGGTAAGCCTACGAGAGAAGTATCGGAGGGAGAAACTTTACTGGGAAAATATAGAGAAAAATGGAAACTCAAGCAATGCACCACTCAAAGAATATTGGCCTTTAATGAAAGATATGAAATTTATAGATGCCGTATCAACAAAAAGACAGTAAGTGACCTTCATCGTTGAAACTAAAATCATGTTAATCTCTTTTTCACCATTTATTTTTAAATTAAACTTCTTCTATCTATTTCAAATAGTTCATATCGAAAAACAATGAAAAACGAAAGAATGGGATCAACTTCAGGAATGACACCATCATACTCGCCGAATATCTCATTAACAACATCACCTCAAAACTTTCCAGGAGCCATGCAAGTTCTCGAGCCACTCGATAATAATGAAGAACAAACTCACTTCCTTATGAATAATTCATTTAATGGCGTTGATGACGACGATCTATCAATGGATTCTGATAACGGGTATAATTCTTTAGATATAAATAAGACTAAATATCAATCGTTTGGTATTTATATTGGCAATGAACTCTGTGCTCTTCGCGATGAATTTGCGGAAGAGCTACACGAGCGATTATTGTCCGAGTTATTAAAGTTTAAGCGTGAATTAAGACAAGCTAAATGCGCGGAGATGTAAATAAGCAACAATACAAAACAAACAAAAAAAGTTATACAAAAACTGCAACATAATGCAATAATTTTATCCCAAAAATGAAGATTATGAATTCGCATAATTATCACGGCGGCTCCAAAATAAAGGAAATATCAACGAAAAAAAGGAATAGATTTTTAAGCGTAAACACGTATTTCTATAATGAGAAAAAAAATGAAATGAAATGAAACCTTAATTACTCAATTTTTAGCGAACAAGTATCAAAGTATTATTTATCAATAGCATGAAGAAGATTTAACTTTATTCTACAATAACACAAAAATATACTCTCGAGTGATGCACGGCAATGTAAGTTTAGTAACTTTAGAAAGAAATTTTATAAATTAAGAACGAAAATTTTGTCAGATAATTTTAATTGGCGGTAATCAGTCTCTGTAAAAAACTCTCCGTATTCCGTCAGATTTAATTTTTGTAAAAATTTAAGGATCGCCTTTATTATCACTGACTCAATGCCTCGTGCTAGTCATTTAGAACAAAGTTTGAATTTGATAATGGAGCGATAAGCAACCCTACCAATTCTTAATTTAAAATAGCCATGGAAATATATATTTTCGAATTTTAATCATTTAAATTTAGAGCTTATAAATTATTTTTAGACCAACCTAATCTCATTCTATAAATTTGACATCGAATTATGTTCAAAAAGATTTTTTTTTCAAGATTTTCGCAAGCCATCCGTAGAATTAATGACCCAAAATTATTAAAGTGCATCACTTGGTTTTATATACAATTAAATAGGCCAAAAACACACTCAGCTTTTATTTTTTGTTGACACAGCATTATTAAGAAACCGTATTTATTTTTTTTTTGTTCGTCAAATGTCTACCTTCAAAGTAATGAAAGTATTCAAATTTATTATTTTTATTTTTTTTATAACAAAAAGGAACCACTCAGTTCTATATTATATTTTCTATAATTGTTTACTTTATTATTTTAATTATTGTTATGTTGATTAAGTCTTCTAAATGATTAAAAATAATAATATCGTAAATAAAACGAATCAGGTCAGGTGTTTTTTAGAAGTTCGTAATATGTAAAAAATGTTGAAATTATTTGTAATATCTTTATATCATAAAGTAATATTAATATTAATGATAATACGTAAATGGTAGGAAAAATATTGAATTAAAAAAAAACTCACAAGTACAATAAAATAATAAATTATACTTACTAATTCGAAATTAATTTGTCTTAATTTTATTTGCATACAAACTTGCTGATTAAGATTTTTCAGGTTGTTGGTTTTATTGTTCAGTCAATCTAGAAATTTAATTTTTTAATTCTTTTCTGTTGCCACCTAGAAATATGCTAAATCATTGATAAAGAATTTTTGAACTCTCACCTTTTTAAAAACTATTATTCGACCATAACTATCGGAACTTATTCAAAATTCAGTATGAAATTAATGAATGAATGTTCAAATTTGTTATCAATTTGAATTGACTCTTCTTACCAAAATTTCTTATCTGAACTTGAATGAAATTTCACAATAATGAAATCATCGGCCAAATATTGTATTTTGTATGTTGAGGCTGGTCAGGAATAGTAAAACACAGATAAGTCAATGTCTAACGAAACAATAACTTAATTAATAAAATCATAGATTAATAGATTTTGTGTAAATGAAAGAAGCTAGAGCTAAGATCGAATTCTCTTTGTTTCGAAAAATTAATCTGGAAGTTTTAATCAAAAGAATAATTTTAAATATTATCTCAAAACAAGGTTAAATGTCACACATTTTACAATCTAATACTATGTGAGTCCTAATGTAAAGTTTTTGTAAATCACAAATGTTGGCAAAAATTATAATACATTTGTGTAATACATTTGTAAGAATTAGGCTCTATACCCGATCAGCACATGTTTTCAACCTGTCCAAATGGCGCTATGACGATCAAACAAATGATGTTCTTAAAAAATAAATTCTGATGTCAGAAAGCTATAATGCTTCTTCTGGTTCCTAGTGCTGCCCTTAAATGAAAGAATCCAATCAAGTATTAAGCAACATTCAATATTGAATCAAACGGGATTGACTGCTCCCAAAACTTTGATTAAAATCCAGACATTAACAATCTACGAGCTAATTTGAATTGCATTGTATTTCCAGAATGTCATATCTTCATTTTTATATTTTTATGAATCTTCTGAACTTGCATCTTTCTGCATTGATGATTACTATAATAAGCGTGTTAGCAATTTTTTTTTTCATTTTATTTCACTTTTTAATTTATTCAATCTTCTCATCGCATATAATTTGAGAAAAGATCAAAGTCATGCCATTCCTAGAATAAGAAACACCCGGACGTAGCATTCGAGAAATTTTGAAGACACGTTTTTATCAAAATATTGACTAAGGCTACATAAAAAGTTTATCTTATCAGTTCAATTTATTCAAATTTGATCGCATATAATTTTAGAAATTTTTGATTTTTAAAAAAGTCGAGGAAAAGATCATCAACTATAAATAGTCAGACATGAAATAAAGTTAAAGTTGAAGAAACAAAATTTAAATTTATAATTTTATATCATCTCTTTAATGAAGGAAAACTTAATCCATAATTAATGAATACGCTCAAAAGTGGATAGTCAACTCAACTTTTATGTATATTTGTCAACAAACATCTTCAAGACATCAGTTTCAGACTTCAAGCTTAAACTCGACAAGAAAAAAGAAGAAAAATAACAAAATTTTAATCTTTAATGCCAACTTAATTAATCTTTGAATTAAGACACTTGAATTAGCATTTAAATTATTCTCTCGAGTTTTGGAATCGATTATTAATTTTAGTGAACATCCTATGAATTTAAGCTGTTCATTTAATACAGCAAGTTGCAATAACATATGTCGAGTTGCACGTCATACTACATTTAGTCAATAAGTTGATAAATTGACTGACTTGGATCATGTTTTGAAATTGAAATTATTGTCTGGTTTCCAGTACTTGTAAGCTTGCTCACCTTGAAAAATTTAATGAACATTGTCGCTTCCTTCTCGATTTAATAAATTTGTATTAATATTTATCGGTGCTTAAATTTTTGGTTGTCATAATGTGTAAGAAGAAGATAAAGTCGCTACCGAGCAACACCCCTACATTTTTATGCCCATCACATGGTTAAATTAGAACAATTTTTGACTTCTCATGCTGCTCACGTAATTTCGGAATCAATAGTAGTACAATCCAGAAAACAAACTAATCTGCAATAAAACTGGAAGTCTCAAAAATTATGCATTGACATTTCTTAGATTCACTGACCAACTCTATAAAAATATTTATATCCATCGATTTTTGACGAAAATGTTTTACCTCACAGCTCGATCAACAAATTATGATGTTGGAAATCTGAGGCACAACTTGTTTCGTTTTGTTTTCTCTCTCAAATTCATAGATTGACAACTTTATAGCCATAATGATGAAATCTTCAGTAACGTTGATGAATATTTAATTTGTTTACAACAAGTTTATCTTTCTAGCTGTTACAACAATAAAAGAAAATCTAGTTTTTGTGTCAAAATTTTTGTTTTCTTCAATTTATTATTAAAATTTTCATTCATTTTTTTGATTTTGATTTTGCATAAATTAAGCAATGTTGTAAAAAAAATTGACCATCATGATTCATGACTTTTATTCTCTTGTATTCTCGCCAAAATAAGGAAACTTTTACAAAATAATAAATTAAACAAAAAAAAAAAAACATACAATAAACATTTTACGATGAAATTAAATGTGGGCAAGTAAGAATTCGGAAGTGATTTTATACAACAGTTTCGGGAAAGGAAGAAGACGTTTTTTTTTTAATAATCTTTTAATTATGCTGTTTATGCGTCCTCACATGTCAATGTACTTTCGTCGAAAATTTTCTCTTCGCCGCATTGAATCAATCGTGGATGTCCTTCAGTACAGAGGAAGAGTGAGTGACGGTCTGGACCTAAAAGTAAAGAAGAATTTAATAATTAGCAGTGATTTAATTACAAATTAATATCAGAGATTCAAAAGATTAATATTCAGATAAAACCGAATGTCGTTCTTAAAATGAGGAACGCTAAAGTTCACTTCCTTAAAACTTTGTCTGAGTATCAAAATTTCATATTTATGCATGGCATGAGTCATTTTCTTTACAAAATTTCAAAACACTTATCATTAAACAAACAAAAGCCTTATCAGCTGTTATCAACGACATAATCAAAAGTTTTCATTTCCTCCGAAACTAGCGTCGCAAAAAATTTGAGTGCGATGAGTAAAATTACAATTAAACTCAAATTTCAATTCGTTTAAGGGAATTGCAACTTAATTTTAAAAGCTTTTAAAGATAAGCTTTTGTATCGTATGCTATAAAATTCATATAGCCGAAAATTTAAACACTTATCTGTTCTGCAAAATATATTCAAAAACCAGATTACATACCTGCAAATCTTGGGAATGGCCAGAAACGTGCAGCTAATGAGTTTGGATCAACCTTAGCTGGACATTTGAATCCAACAACAGCTTCTGGATTACATTTTTCTAATAAGAGATCAGGCCAGTTGCATCCATGGATTCTTTGATCATAAACTAAACCTCTTTCGCAAGGTAATTGATGTGGAACTCCATATTCACATTTGATATAGCTTGTTGAACAATCGGGACTGTCTTCATAAATACCGAATTGATATTCACAAACGCCACTTGAGATTGGTGTTGCTATAAAAATAAAAGCTCGTGATTAAACTTTTGTGCTTTAAAAAAGCTTTAATTAATAAAAGCTTACGATCATATTGTCTCTTGTCACAATCAACTTCATGATTCCAATTATAAGCACAATGATTGTGTACACCACCTTTGCCGGTAAAGACTAATCCATTCTCACATGTTTCTAATGAGAGAGTTCCATTGACACAGAGGAAAAATTGATCACAAATTTCTGGATGTGCATATGCTTGTTCACCAATTGGTTCTGGACAGTGAGGGAGTTGTGCAAGAGCTGAAAATGTAACAAATTAATTAATTAATAGCTTTATGTGCTGTAACAAGATATTTTTAATAGGTCACATTTAGCTTTCATAAGTTGATTATGCAAAATGGAAAAAAAAAATTATTTAATCATATATTATGTACTGAAATTATTTTTTGTGTGTTCGGTGAAAATATCCATCGAGAGTCGTGTGTGCAAATATCTCAAATAGATTTATGAATACGTATTTAAGCTGTTTTGCATAACTAAAAGCGTATAACATGTAACCAACACCTTCCTTAATGTCATAGTAGCTTTTAATTTTAAGTCTCTAGAAATTCAAGTCATGTCAAATTGTTACGATTGGTACATATACGTGAGAAATGCTAGGTAAGTTATGATTTGCAAGATAAAAATGATTTAGAGATTAAGCTTAAACTGTTGAATCGATCGTGACAACTTGTATGTTATCTTTACCGCGGTTAATATATTAGCAACTTTTTAATGTTCCCAGAAATACTTTTACCCCCCGAAAAATGTCTGCAAGACCAATAAGCCATACCTTTAAATTCCATATATACCACAGAATGTTTTCTTGAACTCTTATGAAAAGTGCAAGTATCAACACGTCAAGAATTAGGCAGTCGTTCAGAGCAACTTTTCAATATTTCGAAGCAATTATAAGAAATCATGTTAAGGCCAATATATATTTATTGAATTAATGTGAAAGAATCGACTATTATCATTGACGTTATTTATATATGTACAAATTAACTTAAATGGTTTAATTAGTTCTGTTTTGGTTTGAGTTTCTTTAGCTACATTTTTCTGTGCAGAAATGCTTGAAAGGTAACCATGAACTTTTGGAAATATTCTACTGGTCTAGTCGAACATGTGATAAATTAGAAACTTATAAATTATTCAGGAATTAAGAGGTGATAGTGGTGGAATGTGAATTTAAGGCACAATTTTCATGATTCTGCAAGAGCTTAAACATCAAGTTTTGCAAAATCTTTTGATTTTGAGACACTGTTGGCACAACTTATGTTAATAGGACTTGCCTTGAAATATTTCAAAATTGGAAGTGAAAAACTTGACTTGAGCTTGTTAAAATTAATCAATTTAAGAATTCTTCTAATTTTAATTATAATTGGGGTCGTTCACTTATGACGTCCGAAATTAACGGTCATTTTTCAAAAAATAACAATGGATTTCCAGGAATTTCTATTGTTTTTTTCTTGCTGACCCCCCCCCCCCCCCCCCTGGACGTTATAAGTGAACGACCCCTTTGTTGAAATTCTTATTGATAATCTTCTATGAATTTGGATTGAATTTGACTTAATTTGGACATAGACTTTAAGCTAAACTTGTTAAATCACCATCAATATCAATTAATAATGATTTTAATTCATAATTACAAGTTTCCAAATTTTGCAAGCAGGAAAATCAATTGAACAATTTCTTATTTACTATTAAAACTCGATCTACTAGTTTTAATCGTGAAGCACCAAAAAAAACCACATCAAACCAACAGTTTCAATAACAAGTTCAACTTCATTTGGTTGTTGCGGTTTTTAGAAGGAAAAAAAGTTTCCCTCAACCGACATCGAGACTTACAATCGATTAAATCTTTTGTTTTCTTCTTACTTAGTGCTTTTTAAACAGCGATAAATTAAAACTTAAAAAAAAAATGTGAAAGAAAAAATAAAAATCTGAATCAAGGCCGTTACACACAATAAATGTAGCATTAAAACAAGTTTTCTTGAATCCAAATGTTAGAACTAGAAGTCAACTGAATTATGAATATGACCTTATAAAATCTGTGTGTATTTTGATACTTTCAGACTCACCTAAAGCTCCTGATGCGATGACAATGATGAATGATATGAACTTCATTTTTTTATGTGCAATAAAATGCTTCTCTTCGGCCACAAATTTAATAAAATCTGCAAAAAGTTTAAAGAAATGTAATGCTATATATACACATATACCGTAAAAGATATCCGATTTTTTTTTTTTTTTTTGGATCGGATGGGGTAAAAGAGGCATGAGGCTATTATATAATTCTCATTTGTTGTTGTCGGATGAAAGTTAGAAAAATGTAAATCATCTTCAGTTCTTTTTTAAATGCGAAGATTTCACTTTTTCTTTCTTTCTGTGACTATGGAACTTAAACTTAAGCTTTACAATTCAATAATATTTGATCGTGTTTTTATCTTTACTTTTTAATGTATTAAAAATTTATTTTGTTAAAGCTGAGCTGTTTTGGTGGCAAAAGCAAACACTCGACAACCCGTCACCTTTTGTGGCTTAAAAAAGACTAACTGGCTGACTCTTATTCATTCCAATGAACGCAAAAATATTGGCTGTGACTCAAAATAAGCAGCGATTTAACATGTGTTATATGTGTGCAACTATACACGACTTATAGATCGATTCAATATTTTTTTTTTACCTGCTGCCGAAAGTGAAAGGTGTTTTAGGGTCTGTGTTATAGCTGGCTGTCTGGAAATGCTCAGTTTTACTTAAAACATTTGAAATTTTATTTGCAATTTTCACACTTTATGCAATACTTTGATTGATTATTGAAGTTTTTTGGCTATTTCTTCCAATTCATATCCTTATACTAATTGATATGATCTACTTCAGACCTTTCTGATATGAATCAATGGATCATGATCCGTATTTTTGATTCCAAATATCTCTGACATTTGAATTAATTTAAGCTGAGTCAAATTTCGTTTCTGTACCTTTAGATTGAGTTTTTGGTATGATAAGAGTGTTTTGTTGTGTGATGTTTAACTCGAGCTGATCAAAACGTCTAGCTGAGCAACAATATATCCATCATAATGTGAAAATTCAATTCCAAAAGATAGTAAACTTAATGATAGTTTAATCTATTTATCAAAGAAATGTGAATATTCTGCAAGAATCCAGAAGGAATTATAAGAAAGCAACTTATCATAAAGCTTTGAATAAAAGCTCTCATAAATGCGTCTTTCTCATTAATCTCAAATCAATTTCTTACCATTTTCTTTTATTTCAGACTCAAAAAAAAATACGAATGAATAAACATAATAAAAACTTTATTAAATGTCCATTGGAGAGAGATTCAAAAATGGTCTGGTATTGGTAAGATATTGGTAAAGAGATATGGATACATAAAGCTAAAAAAAGCTATTATATAACAATCATAATACATTATATTTCATTGCATTCAACACGTTATTTATGAAAGCATATGCACACATGTATCAAAAAAAGAATTTTTGCGCATTGCATTTTTCTGCAGCTGTTGATCAACATTCTGAAAAATGAAATGGAACAAAACTTAATTAATGTACACAACACATATTTTTATTTATTTTCATCATTATTGATTTTTTTTTATTTCATATTTTTTATTTCATTTTATCGAGAAGTTTAAAAATAGTTTTACTTTCATTAAATGACTTGAGAAAGTAAAGCAGTAAAGAGGAAAAGAGATAGAGAGACAGGCAGAAAGTCAAAAGGTTGAAAAAGAATACAAAAAATAAATTTCATGTAGGAAGAATTGAAAGAATTAAAGGAAAGTAGAGAAGAGAAAACTGAATATTTTGAATGAGAATAAAAGAAGTAGTAAAGTACAAGTCAGCATGAAAGATAAAAGTTGTTGAGATGACAAAAGAAGAAGATAAAATTGAAAATTAAAGCAAGTCTAAGTGAAAGTATGAAATGTGCAAATAAAATTTAAATTGTGCATATTTTTTTATAAACATTAGCAAGTAACAGAGAGTTAGTACAGTTGAGGATCATAGTGGTAAACTTTTTCTACTACCATGTCAGTAAACTTGTACATGCAATGCCAAAAATAACTTTTTCTTTTATTTGTAACAAATTGAGACTTAAAAGTTGACACAGATTTAAGTTTCATAGGAAAGAATTAAAAAGTTAAACGTTAAAAGTGAGGGAGGTACAGATAGAGAAATTGAAAGATAGAAAATAGTAAAAGTCATGATAGAGAGTAAATAGCAGAACAATAAAATCGCAAAACTTTCAATTCAGTCGTATGATTGTTTAGAGACTGCTGCATTTTAAAACAAATTAATGACAAAACAATCACATTACTGAACTCTTTGTTATGCTGTCAAATTGAGAATTCATAAACTTGAAATGAAATGAGAAAATTAAGCTAATAGTTTTCGGAAAGATTGAGTTATAGAAATCATCAAAGTTAAAATCTTTTAGACTTGTTCATGTGATTTAAAACTGTTTAAAGAACAAATCTTTTGAATTTTAATTGTGAGGATAGAAATGGAAGAATTAAGATTGCAAGAAAAGAATTAAAATTGAAAGAGAATAATTAAATGGAAAGAAATAGGTAGAATGTTAAAAGAAAAAAAAAAGATAGAATTAAAAGTGATTGACAATGTAATTGATGGTTGCTAAATTACAAACCTTTTAGTTCAAAAGACATTTGCAATCACATTGAGGATAAGATAGTTAAGAAAGATGAGATAGATTAGGATTAATGAAAGAAAATAATCAGAAAAGTACAAAAGATAATAGATAAATGTAGATTAAGTTTGTAGAATACAAGTTAAAATCAAAAAAGTGGAAAAATAAACAAGTTATAGAGTTTGCAAAGACAGAATAATAATTGATAGACCCGACATAAAGAAGAAGCTAAAGATAGTAAAGAGAAGATCAGAGGTGCAATAAAATTTTAAGATATTAAGCGTGCGAAAAAGCAACAAAGTAAAAGAATGAGCAATTTATGAATTCATGAGAAAAAGTGAAAGATATAACCATAAAAGCTTTGGTAAGTTCTTTTGCAATCTGATTTTTTTTGTTTTAAATTAATTAAAATTGTAAACTCAATTAACATTTAAAAACCCATTGAATAATTTTTACCCTAGAGATGTAACCATCCAAGTAATCAAATAAACATTACAACATGCTTGAGAAAGCGAACACATCATGAACTTAAGGCAAGCTTATATCTTGTGACACGTAATCATTTATGACTGCTGTATGAAATGCAAAATTCATTTTTTTGGCATATGTTATTAAAGACTTAAATTATTTAACATAATAGATGAAAAATTAATTAATGGTTTTAATATTCAGAAATTTTAAAATTGATTAAAAGTTTTGTAAAAAATTTGATATCCTTATAAGATTAATATGGACGTTAATAATCTCAATTACTCGAACAAAATCTTCAAGTTCTTAATAAAAATTTAAAAAGTATAACTAAGAACGTATGAAGTACTTAGAAATCTAAATGGCAGTGTCATTGCAAATATCCCGATGTAAATAGTTTGTTCGGATTACATTCCTAACAAAATTGAGTATTATAATCATAATTGATTAGGTTCTTATGCTAGTTAAAAATCCCAATCAAAGCTGTTGGCTAGGAGTAATGTTTCCAGTTAAGGTTTTCAGTACGGATACTGATAACCTGACTTGGAGCTATGCAAACTATTCGAGGTTTATCTTTAGAGCTAAAACAACAATCCAACAGCTCTGATTCCCACATAAAAAATATATTTAAGATAAATTTAATAGAAAAATAAAAGTTTGAAATGAAAAAGAGTTTTCAACATAAAACAGATACTTATAGAAGTTTGATATGTGCGAACAAACAAGACTTTATATAAAATCTATAATATCAAAAAATTTAATTTGGTTTATCGCTATATTTGTCATCATTTGAATATTAAACTTGTTATCTATAATTGATACAATTCTTTAGAAATTGACGACTAAGAAATGAAGAATGCCAATCGTTTGAATGTCAATGAAAAATTTACGTGCAACATTTTGTTTACGATTCTTAAGAACGACTAAAATATTTCAACAGTTATTCAGAATATGGCTTGAAGCAAATATTTGAAACAAGAATCTTCCAGAAACCGTAAAAACTTCAAGCAATTCTTACAACTTCTTTCTTTTAGATTTTAATTTAAGCCAAACTAGTGATTACGGAGGCACAAAACGTGTTCTACAGTTTTTCAACTTCCCGATCGAAAATTCCTATTGACTTGTAATTTGCATTTTAATTGCCATGATTAGCAACAAATTTCTAGTCAAACCAGGCCTTTTCCATCATTCAATTGAAACACCCAGTGACATAAAAGGTCTACCAAAGCTTTAAGGTTATATGAAAATAAGTAGGAAGAAAGCAACTGGAAAGTAGGAAGGATAGTATTAAGGTAAAGTTAAATAGTTTTAATAGACTAAAAATATAATGTTTATTAACATAATGTTTTTTTTTGTTCAATTAATAATGGCAGTCTTGGATATGAATACACATTATAGAATTAGAAAGGAAGTTAATTAGAATGTAAAATAGAATAAAGTAATAGATGTAGGAATAGAGATAGAGAGTGACAGAGATAAAAGGAAAATAAAGTTTGAAAAAATGAAATTAGATAGAATTTACATAGAAAAATCTCATTTAGTTCTTGTCAGCGTCTTTGAACCAATCCTCACTGTAAAATAAATGAATCATGAATTAGTTAACCTCAAAATTTCATTAATATGCTCAATAATTCTTACCATCCGGCAACATTTTCTGGATTGTCACAACGCTTGGTTTCGTCATTGAAGACTTCTCCAGCACCGCATGCTAATTCACGTGGTTCAATTCCATTAAGACATACGTAGAATTTCTGACAGTCTTCTGGATGTGAAAAGTGTGGATGAGCAACGATTTGACCATTGGCATCATTCTTGTTCTTTTCAGCTGGACACTTGAAGCCATCCTTGAGTTTTTTCTCATCTTCCTTGCATCCTTCTCTGTTGGCTGTTGCTGGCCATACACATGTACCTGAATATTCATCAAAGTGGAGTCCAGCAGCGCATCTGTTTTCAACTGATTCTCCATCAACACATTGGTAGAAGAGATCACAGATTGTTGAATCTGGATGAGCGAAGAAACCATTTCGTCTTGGACAGAAGTCATTTGTACCCTTTGGTGGCTCTAGATTCGAATTAAAATAATGAATTAGCTTTGGTTCTATAAATAAGATATAAAAATACTTACGAAGTTCTGTTCTGTCGCCACAGTCAACGTTGAAAGGTTGGTCACATTTGTTGAATCGTCTAATTGATTGATCGAATACTAAACCATCGGGACATAATTTCTCTTTTACTACACCATCTTGACAATCATAGTACTTATCGCACTGCTCTGCATCTTCATATTGTGCGTTTTTGTTATTTGGGCATTGGAACTTTTGTGAGGCTGTGAAAAAGACATAAAAGATTTTATTGATCAATATCTTTTCCAAAAACGCCAACTTAATTTTTATGTATGAACATTATGCAATCATGCAAATATGGAAATATTGATTCATATCGCGTGTGATCACCTATTTGCCTTGTTTCGAAAGTTTATTGACATTTTCATATAACAAATTGGAATCTGTGATGCAAAATGGCAAACAAAAGATGCTCACAAAATCAGATACAAAAGAAATTTCATTTTCTTCTTCTTATTCTTTCATGCAGCGTCTACGTATGCAGGAGAAAAGTGGAACAGACACAGATCGTAAAAGAAATTATTTTTCTGTTGTAAAGTTGTTACTTAATAAGTGGCAATTCGATTGATTTTATAATTTTCTTTCATATTTGTTTGATAACACCAAACACACCCATGTATATGTGTGCTGTCTGCCTGATTATATATACGGAATATTGCCATTGAAATGAAAGAAATTATGAAATGTATTTCAGAGCCTCAAGGTGGCTGACATTTCACTTAAACTGGACCTCTCTCTAGGCTGACAACAATATTTTTTTCGTGTTTTCGTCGTACGAAAATTTAATTTTTTTTGCTATTGTTTCATATGAAATATTATGTGATCAAAAACCAGTCCCTTACGTTTCATGCTTCACACATATGTGTCATTAATTTTTTTTGCCATAACTCGACTTTTCCTACTGCAAAAAAAAAGTAAGTCGACATGGCTGTTTTGTGACATTTTCCGTACGAGTATTCTAATGAAAACAAAGTCATTAAGTTGCAAATTATATTAAGATTGTGGAAATTCTATAGCTGTCTATTATGTATCGAAATGGAATTCTTTATGAAATACAATAATTCATTTTGTATATAATCACAGAATTTTGAACATTTAAGCTTCACTTTTTAAGGATTATATAATTCTCAACATTTGCTTGCCTTTTTGGTATGCATGTGGAATTGAAACTGTTATTATGAAACTGAAACTTGACAATGCATGTTGAATCTCACAAATTCATGACTTTAATGTCTTAATAGTGTGTTAATACCTTAGGTGTTAATGGAATTTTCGTGAACATGTTTAACTTATGTGATTTATTAAGTTTGATTATCTATAATCGAGATAAGTATATAGGCTGTGAAGTTTACAATTGACATAACTTAATGAGCTTATGATTTTTGGCGTTTTGGAGTGGGTTTAATGCTTTTGATAGGGAGATCTTAAAGTTTGTTATTTCGATAGATACACAAGCTCATAGTTCTCAATATTGCAGTTCAAAACCATTAAGTCTCAAATTAAAAGAAGAATTTAACAGTATTTAAAGTTCATAAGCCATAACTTTAAATGTCAACATAAATTCATCATTAATGAAATTCCTATGATCATTATAGCTGACAAATTAATGGAACTGCCAATTTTATACTGAAGATTTAATCGTTTTGATTCTGAATGGATAGATTAATCAAATTAATGGTTATAAGGTAACCGGCGAATTCTATTCTTTGGAGAACCATTAATTAAGTCTGTCGAAAATGATTTGAAACTTTTGATGCTCAAGATATAGGCTCAAAAATAATTTCCTCTAATTCTCTCTGCAATAATAATTAATATGCATATTTAATGTCATTTTCACAATAACTCCCACCAATTTACCATTCTTCCCATTGTTCCATAACGTGCCTAGTTCGCTTGTATAAAAGACAGCACAAAACACAAGCTTGAATAAATTAATGATGTACAGTTTCCCGAAAAAAAAGTTATTCATTCGTCTTTTAAAGGTCACATCTTACTGGCCCCCTTTTTTGCCACAAATTTTGGTCATCAACAAAAAAAATAACTGGTTTCATCACGCCAAAGAAATGAGAAGAATTATGTAAGAAACTCAACAAGACTACACGCGAGACATTATCGATTAGCGGTGATTTTAAGAGTGAAATTATTATTATGCAATGCATGTATCATTTCTTTTCCTTCATTTGCCATTCACACACTGTTTAAGTATGAGCGATAAGTTCAGTAAAATTCATTGGAATTGCTGCAATTCGCGATTTGGCATGGAACAGTGAATTTTTCGATTCAACTAGTCAATTATCTTAACGGTAAATGTTGCAGTCTATTAAATTAATTAACTGTCACTCGCAAAATACATAAAAATATTTTTTTATACTCACTGGCTATTGTCACAAGTAGTGCAAAAAATAGGAAACGATTCATTTTGTTTAAAAATTTCACAAATTAATTTTTTCTTTATAAATGCACGGCAGACTTGTATGTCAGGATGATATGTCTAATCACTATGAACGAATTTCCTCAACTGCCAGATTTTTTGGTTTCACTCTCACTTTTTGACTTTTGGCGGTCTCCCTACCTCTTAAGATTCCTACTTCGTGCTTGCATGTATTGTTTCATTACAACGACAATCTTCAACATTTTTCTTTATTAATAAACAATTTCTCAAATACAAATGTTCCGTTGTGTTGCAGGAAAAACTTCTAAAAAGCTTTTTATTTTTATTTTTTCAATCGTGTTAATTCGAATAGAATGAGTCGTAGCCGATCGTAATTTCTTTATTATATATTGTTCAACACCGATATGTGCATATTTTAAACTATTGGAAATAAAATTACTTTCGGTATTCTACTTTCCTAGTTCATTACCATTAACATGCGAAAATGTTGGGTGTTTATTTAGAGATTTAAGTTTGAGCGCATTTATAGTGCGTCGGACAAAACAAAATAATGATTTAGCATTTTTAATTGAAGGATAAAGCGATACTAGCTTCCTATTGATCCTAAGGTCGAGTCAGTTGAAGAAATTTCTGTCTGCAGTCTTTAAAAAGGAGCTAGTGAGCTTCAAATCTAGAACTTTTGGGTTTAATAAGTTGATTTTAAGAAGTAAAAAATCTAGCTTGTCAAGTTCCTAATCTCCCATTAACCTAGTCCCCATTTTCATGACAATTCAACTAGAAAAACCTTTAATTCGTCAACTAATTTCCTTTCCCCATTCCATTCGTGTCTCTAAAATCATTCAATTGTCAAAAATCATTAGACAATCGCTTAATTATTCAATAACTTTCATCTAAAATAATTTATTAAGCAAATCAAATTATTCACAATACATAGCTAACACTCCAACCAGCAAAACTAAGCGTAACACCACATACGGCTTGCAAAAAAGCACCAAGAAACAAACTATGTAAAAAAAAGTTATGCATATTTTCAACTCGACTACCTTGAAACACAAAAAATGGTGAAATTATATTTATATTGACATGGAAACAATAGAGTAGCGCTAAGTTTTAGAATTTACATGCAACTTCTTGATCTTGGCTTACTTTTGTATGATTTATTCTATGGATTGATGCATCTTTTGATGAATTAGAGGTTTATAGCTTATTTTGACTGAGTCATAAAATTGTTGAAGTTCGTTTAAGTCTTCAGTCACATGTTTTGTGATGAATATACATTAAAATTCAAAGAATGCGCATTATGATGGTGAAAAATATGGGTTGCGCGTTATGTGATATCTGATTTTTGTGAGGTTATTTTTATCGCCTGATTTAAATTTCAAGAAGTTTATGTTTATTCTGTTTTTAAGTTTAAATCAAAAAATATTGTCAAATTATTAAGGATTCTTTGATATTATTTTTCAATGAACTAGTTTTCATTGAGAAAAACTTTTATAATTCAGTCTTTCAGTTTACGAACGTAAATACAACAATACAAATTAAAAAGCCTCAGGTAAACAAAAACTTTATCATTTTATGTACAATTTCGCATTAAGTTTTCATTGTTGTTTAACAAACTTTCGTCGTATGTAACTTTACAGATATATTAACAAAGGGTTGAAAAACTTTATTCTGTGTTAACTTCATATTGTCAAGACGTTTTTATGTGAATAAATTCATAGCAAATTTTACCAATTTTAGCTGAACCACATGTATGAACAAAAAGTGCGGTTTATGTGGGAAAAAAAGATTGTTTATTATTGAGAATTGAAAGATTTTTGAAATTGAAATTTTATTTAAAAAATTGGGATTTACTACATTTTTGGAGCTAAAAACAAAGATATTCAAAACATAAGAGCTTAAAATTCAAAGTAACTGTGTTTGCAGCTTTGATTTAATTGGTAAAATGATGAAATTTGAAATATTTTAATTTTAACAATATCAATGTGTTGTCATTTGTCATTTAAGGCTTGTTTTATCATGAAAAGATAATCAAAACACTTAATTTCACAAAATTATGGATAAGTACGGTGACGGGAAGTCATCAAGAAATCGATGGAAGGATGAGAATCGTAATCCAAAACTTTATGATGAGCGCACAGATACACCGGGTCAAAGTCAGAATGGAAAAAATTCTTCCACAACAGCAATATCATCATCGTCTACAACGTCGTCGTCATCAAAAAATCAAGGAAGTAAGCAAGTGAAAAATGATATTGTCAATCAGTTGGCTCAAAGTTTGCCGGAAGATGTGAGGATATCGAAACTTTTACGTCGTCTAGAGACAGAAGGTTCAGTAACCGGTACGATAGAAATATGTCAAAAATTAAAGGCTGCTGTGCAGGATCAAACAAATGCAAGCTATATTCGTCGTTCGTTTGATATGCTAGCAAATTCTTTAATTTCGATAATGAAGGAATGTCATTCACCGGATGCCATGTCAAGTGTGTGCCAAGTTTTTGGAATGATTGGATTTGTTATGCGAAATGACTTTCCTCTTTACAAGTCTTGGATTTGTAAGACATACAAAAGTGTCAAACTTCTTCGTGCACCAATGATGAATGCATTGGAGAAAACTTTGATATTGGATTCAAGTGATTTGCGATTGAGCGACCAAATGGGAAGATTAATGGAGTTATTGAGAGACTTTCTTGAACAAACTGACGACTATAAAGTGTTTATTGCTATAACTCAAGTTATCATGGCAATTGCACAAAATTATAATCCTCGGTATTTCAAGACTCATTTCTCAAACATTGTTGACATTGTTATCGGTTGGATGATGGAACCTGGACAAAAGTCGAAAGTTAAAAATCAATGCTCAATTGTTTTGCAAAGTTTCAAGATCTTTTGGCAAAACGATACTAAATTTACGCTAGATTTGTTGGGACAACTTTTGGAAGACATTGAAGGATGTACTGAAAAAATAGATGAAAGTGGTGATGGAAACTTGAAGAACTATAAGGAATTCGGTGCATTTATTGGTAAGTAATGTTTTATTTTAAATAAGATTTAAATATTTACATCCATCACGTATTTATTTACACAGGTGTATTCAATGCAATCATTAAATCCATTTATGTGTCTCCTGAGGCACTAGTCAACTTTATAGGAAAGGATATGATGGTACAATGTGTAGATAAAATATTGAAAGTAGCATTAGTCGCTTTGAAGGAAGATATATGCATAAAGGAAACCGTATTGACTATAAACGAATTCACATTAATGCTACTTGATTGTCGAAAATATGGTGTAGAAATGCAGATGGAAACAATTCAGAACATCATAGAGATTGAAATGGAAAATTTAACAAAATATTCGGAAGATGAAATTTCAAGTTTTCTTTTTCTCGTAACTCAATTCATTGGTGAATTTAAAAGCGTGCTTACGGTTAATTTCATTGCAAATTTATTCAACATCGATGGAATTTTATTGAAGAAAATTATCTTCAATGATGATAGAAGAATCAAAAATGGATTAATAAAAATTTATCATGATGTGCTGGCCTTGAAAAATGTTCCGGTTCTACAAGCAGCATATAAGTGCATTCTTGAACAGTTTGCCGCATGTATGAAGCAAATTCCTCAATTAAACGATATTAAATGGATTATAGATGTGGAAACGAAAGATGAGAATTCAACTGCAATTTCAAATGAAAAGACCATAATTAAAGCACAATATGCTCTTAATTTCAACTTAACTGCTATATCAAAACTAGCTACGATGCAGAATTCCATTATTGCCATGTATTCTCTTGTGCCAAGTATTTTGGAAGTTCTTTTGGGTCTGCAAATATGGAGACCAGAATGGAATGATTATGAGCTCATACAATACTCTGCATTACTTGTAATTTCTGAGCATTGCTTAAAGAATAGTAATTTTATCACATCCAGCTCACTGCTAGCTACTAAAGCAACAACAGCAATCACATCTTCATGGTTATCCGACTCATCACCAACAGAAAGTCCAGTCTCGCAACATTTTAAATACATTCTAGAGTTTGTTGATAGAATTCTCAAGTCCACACCATCATTAAAACAATTCAAATTAATTCTCGACTGGCTTGATAAATTAATTCAGCAGACAACACAGTATGCAGAGCAGCTTAAAGATAATCAACATTTTGTTTCAATATTGAAACGTATAAACCACATCTCAAACAAATATAATGATGAAGTATCATTGAAGGTAGCCGCTTGTAACGATTCGTTATACGCATTTGATGTTATACATTCCGATATTTTTATATCGATGTCAGAAGCTTGTGCAGTGCAAATGTGCTCAGTTAATCCTGAAATTAGACGTCGTTTCTCATTTATTTTATCGAGAATTCCATTAAAATATACATTAGAGCAAGCGAAATCGCCATCTGGTATCAATCAAGAAGCAATTGACAAAATTACTGAGATGGAAAACTGGCACTTATCACTTGGAAGTATTCATGGTGGAGAATTAAGAGCTCAATACTTTCAGCAATTTATCAATCACATTTCCTTTACACCAAATGCATCGAATATTGATCAATTTATATCGCATGCATTTAAAAACTGCTGGTTTAATGGCACAGAAACTGCTGAGGAGTATAAGCGTGTCACATTGAAAGATGTTAGAACATTAAGCGCTTGGATTCAGTGGGAGGCAGCAAGATTTTGTGTCAATAATAAGCTCAAGACACCACTGGGAAAGGCTCAAGACACTTTTATCAAAATCGAGGGTATCATTCGTGAACATGCTCGAGTACTGACCCTCAAAGATAAATCAAAGTCGAAAAGCTATAAACATGTCTTGGCAAATCAACGTAATGTGAGAATCCTCTTGGGTTTCATGGAATCATTAGAAAAGGCTATTTATAATGCAGCTGAAGGGAGTGCCTTTGCAATACCACCACCGGAGAAGCCAGCACGTACATTCTTTCGCTTGAATGCATCTACATGTAATGAATGGTTCACCCGCAACAGATTAGCAATACATCAACTCGCATTACACTGTATGGAACTTGAAATGGTTATAAGATGCTCTCAAAGCATACTTAAGGAAATGGTGGCAGCAGGAAAAATGAATGAAATATTTTTTGATCAAATTCTCATGTCTTTGACGTGGGCTCTGTTAAGAAATTTTGAAAGTGATGCTCTCATTGGACTCTATATTTGGGTTAGAAACATCACGGGCAGAAAATTATATTGGATTAAAATGGCATCTGAGCAGGCCGCTGGACACCGTGAAATAGCAGCTGATGGTTATGCAAAAGTTTTACGTGATGAGAAACTCGAGCCGAAACTTTATGACTTTATTGCGGATCAAAGACGAATTTCATTAATCTACACTGGTAATATGAAGGAGCTTGTAGACGTTCTAGATGAAGAAGAATCAAGAAATTATAAGCCATCAAATATTCCAATATTAAAGATGACGAAAGAGCAAATTGAGAATATAATAATTTATGAGAAAACAAAGGATACATCGACACTTGCTGAAATGGCACTTTGGGAGACATTAGAAAATGGTCCGGAAATTTCTAGTAATTATTCGGTACATAATTTAATATCATTATCAGAAAATACAATTGCAATGAAATTTGTCGATCAAAGAGAGGGACAAATGGAGAATGAAGCATGGGAAATTTTACAAACCTTAATTCAGGAATGCTTGAGAACTGGCTCACAAGAATATCCAGTCCAGTTGAACATTATAAATCATTTAGCTGGAAAAATCAAGAATAAGGATGTTCAATCATTGGAAATAGAAAAGAAGTACGGATCATTGACTATGTTTATAGTCTCTCTGTACAGTGAATTTCTTGATGCGTTTAGCGATAAAGGAGAGCAACAAAATATTAATTTGAAAATTGACTTGGTAGCTGCTGGACGAAAGGAATTAAATTTTAAACAATGCACGCAGCAGTTATTTAGCGTTTACAAGTGTGTTGAATATAAGGAACATGTGGGTCTACCAATAGAACAAGAATCGCTTCCTTTAATAAAAGACTGTCTAATGTCGTCGCAAAATATTGACAGTGGAAAAGTATGGAGTGAAAATGTGTCACGTGCTGTATATGAGCATTGTAAAATGCTATATGTTGCCAAAAATCAACACTTTGATGCAATTCAATTTGGTTCAACCGCAGCGATTGGAATCAAAAGCAGATTAATGTCAACAGACAATGTAAATACGGAAAATTTAAATAAGTTATGTGTGAAATTCTACATGAAAATCGCAGAATGGGTGCAAAATGAATCAGAGGAATTGTTAGAGCAACAGGCGTCAAAGCCATTGAAAATGCTAGTTCATTCAATTAACGACGAAGAGTATATCGACGATAAAATGCCACTGATTGATGCAGCTGTTGGAAAATTACTTCAGAGTGGTGTAAAACAGTGTCCACAAATGCCAAAAGCATGGTCATCACTCGCTAATTGGTGCTATAGATGGGGTAGAAAAATGATTGAATCAAAAACTGACAGTCAAGGACTAAGAGCAATTGACTCAAGTGCAATTATTGAATTGATACCGGAAGCACAATCGGAAGATGTCGAGAGCATTTTAAAAATTCTCAACGAGCAGCAAATTATTGTTGAAGATGAAGATATTGGACCGAATGAAAGTAGTTCAACTGAAATAATTGAGGGACAATTGCGCATGATACCATTACTGCAGGATAGAAATAGTGATTTCATTAATAGCATTATAAAATTGTGGAAGCAAGCACATCGTGATGTTTATAGATATTACGAAATGTGTGCAAGTGCATACTTTAAATTCCTTTTATTATCATCCTCAAATACTGATATGGTCGGCGATTCATCTGTTGTAACCGCAACCTTGCGTCTATTGCGACTCATCGTAAAACACGCTTTGGGTCTACAAGAAGTTTTGGAAGAAGGTTTAGGTACGTTATGTCACATGTTTTTATGGCATTAAAAATTGTCGTTTGTTTATTTTTCCCACATTTTATGGCTTCTGTCTGTTTTCTTATCCTGAACTCATTTTCTTCAATATTTTTCTGAAAATCTCTTCAACCTTTAATTTTTTAAAAACTGTGACTCTCTCGAGTTGAAAAATGCTTCAATGTCACGTATGGAACTAATTTCTTCAATTTATTTCAATTCTTTACATTTAGCAAAAACTCCTTCAGATCCATGGAAAGTCATCATACCCCAATTATTTTCTCGACTTAATCATCATGAGCCATATGTAAGAAAGCGTGTTTCTGAGCTTTTATGTCGTGTTGCAATGGATTCACCACATCTTATTATCTTTCCAACTGTTGTCGGTGCACAAGATAAAAGCATGGATGTAACAAAATTAACCAGTGAACATAGCGGAAATTCGGAAACGGATTGGAAGAATTCAAGTCTTACATTCTGCTTCACGTCATTACTCGATACACTGTCTATGCAGAGTCCTAAGACAGTCAGTCAAGTACAATTATTTGTTCGTGAACTTCGTAGAATTGCATTACTTTGGGATGAGTTATGGCTGTTGTCATTAAGTCAAGTATATGCTGAGAATGTTAAAAAGCTTCAGAACTTTGAGGCAGAGTTTCATACCACTGACAAATCTCCGGAAAAGGTTTCTTTGTTTACTGAAAAGTATCGTTTACTTATGAGACCAGTTATTTTTGTTATGGAACGACTGCAAGGCTATTGCTCGAAAACCCCGGAAACAAATAACGAGAAGGCTTTCCAAGAAAAGTTTTTGACCTTCATTGACGAGACAATTGTTGACCTTAAGAAGCCATTTGATCAAGCAGAACCACTAGGCGTGTTTGGTAAATTAAAGACACTTTATCAGCTTATGCAGCAACGTGTTCAAAAACGAATGAACCATTCATTTAAAATGAGTGATATCTCGCCAGTCCTTGCATCACTACGTAGTACAAACATTTCAATGCCAGGCGTCATGCCATCAAATGAGAGTGAAGCTGTTTATATACAATCAGTTGATGATGTAATTCATATTTTACCGACCAAGACGAAGCCCAAAAAGTTAGCATTTTATGGAAGCGATGGTAAACGTTATACATATTTATTCAAAGGTATGGAAGACTTGCATTTAGATGAGAGAATAATGCAATTTTTATCAATTGCTAATTTGATGATGAAAAAATCTGTTGACTCTGACGGTAAAGTCACCCATTATCGTGCACAACATTATTCAGTCATCCCACTTGGACCTCGAAGTGGTTTGATTTCGTGGGTTGATGGTGTCATTCCAATATTTTCAATTTACAAAAAATGGCAACAACGTGAAGCCGCAAATCCACGAAAGGATAAGCAGTATGTGGTTCTCAGGCCATCGGAACTCTTTTATAATAAAATTACTCCACTTTTGAAAGAGCATAGTCTCAAACCAACTGACAACCGCAAAGATTGGCCTTTATCCGTGCAGAAAAAGGCATTCGACGAACTAAAGGCTGAAACGCCTAGGGACTTACTTGCAAAAGAATTTTGGTGTACAGCCTCCACAGCAGCTCATTGGCGTCAAATTGTTCGAAATTATTCCGTGTCACTCGCAGTCATGAGTGTAATAGGTTAGTTAACATTTTCAATCAATTAATTTTAGTCACAGAAAATAATTGCATTGAAAATTAAAATACAATTTTCTCTCGTCCACAAATAGGCTACATAATTGGGCTTGGCGATAGACATTTAGATAATATTCTTGTTAAATTGGCAAGCGGTGACATCGTTCATATTGATTATAACGTTTGTTTCGAGAAGGGAAAAACTTTACGTGTACCAGAGAAAGTTCCATTCAGAATGGTGAGTTTACAATTTATAAAAGTTTTTTTTTGCTCCTTTTCGTCCTCTTTGTTGTCCCTTTGAGAATACTTTTATTGCAAGAAGTTTAAGTTTTTGAATTCAGTTTGTCTACCTCTTCAAATACTTCTCTTTGAAGGAATACACAAGTTTTTTAGTATCCAATTCAATGCTGAAGTTTCAAATGCATCTCAAAATCTTTTTGTAGCACTTCTAAATGTGTAAATGTTTGAATTCTGCAATTATGTATCTATTATACTCTAGAAACCTAACAAAATCCTTAGTAAAATTTCTATTTACTTATTTTCTCTTTATTATATTCCGTAAAATGCTTACACAAGCAAACGTTCATCCACATTCCTTATCCTTTCCTCTCCTCCCTTCTATTTTATTTTCATCATGTAATGACATGCAAATTGAATTAAAAAACTTATCATTATCATATAGACGCAAAACATCGAGGAAGCTCTTGGACTTACAGGAATTGAGGTGAGTAATAAATTATCATTCACATTTTGTCATGAAAAGTTTGCCTTAGCAAAATATTGTCACTTACTTTACTACCGTGCTTCTTGTTGTTGTTTATGTCACATGGGGAAGCAAGTGCTAAAGAGCAAATTAAGCGTCACGCTTTTAATGAATTCATAGAAAAACATTGAAGAATATCGTAGATATTAAAAGTGAACAGAAAATCAGACTGAATTTTTTTTTAATGCTCATAAATAAATATTAAGTATGGAAAAATCTAATAATAGTAACGCGTCGGCGAAGAAATAAGAATGCCTCTCACTCTATTTTCTTAAAGAGTCATTTTAATCATTTCTACAACCACCCTATTTTGTTTTCTTTCGTATTTGAAGGAGTGATTCTATATATGCACATACTTGAATAGTAATTTCGTTTAAAAATAAATATGCAAAAAAATCGCGCTCGATTTGACTTGATTACAGCAAACGTAACAGATAGATTATTCTTGACTAATGTCTTATTCAATATTGATAAAATAATTCACAGTTTTATTCCATAAATTACGTTTTATCCTTCACAAATAATTTTTCTATTAATAAGTGACGGCTAATATTCTGGTAATTTGATACATACGGCTGCAGTTTTCGACATGCTATGGGTCCCTGGTGGATAGATTATAGCGTTTTTGATAACTAATAGTTACAAAATATTTTTAAATGTTTCGCTAGCTGCTGTTAAATTTACGCCAAAATCACGTCAAGGGAGTAGACTTCCATGTGCCGTCTAACTGATAAATGTATACGGATGCATGATAAACGACTCGATCGATTTGATGTGAATGTTACCATTAATTATGGATTTTCTGATAGTTCATATATTCATGGACATAGCTTCAATTTTGTGACATGAAACTTGAACAGGATTTCTCCACTCTAAGTCTTCTTCTTAATGTCTCATAGTAGTTATGATAAGGATCTAGTTCTGTTTGTTTGTTGCTCTCCTTTTCGAAAAACATGCAATCCTTTTTAGTCTGTTATTTTTAAATGATATTTTGACTGTCGACTGTCATTAGTTGAAATGTGAGATGACAAGCTGATATTATCAAAAGTTTCAAGGACTTTCACTTGTAAGGTCGATGGATTTTCTTATTTGTTGATGTTTTAATGGTTGTCAAAGCTATTAAGCGTTAAAAGGATTCTTACAGAGCAAATTTCTTTGAACTCAAACGTTCTAGAGAAAGTCATAGACACTTCTATGGAAAATTTAAGCAATTTTCTTAGCATCATTATTTTTTTGTGTGAAAATTTATGAAAATGCATGTAAAGCACGAGTTGTGTGAAGTTAAAAATATCTTCAAAGTTTCAATTCTCGTGGATTATAAGGAATTCATAAATATCATTAGCTTACTTTGAGCATGTAAAGAAAAAGTATTTTAATATTAAAAGCAAGACAAACAATGCCAATATTGTATTTTCCTTACAAAAAAAGTTGTCTTTTCTTTTTGCCTAAAAGCAGCATCTGTCCAAAAATGAATGTAAAAATTGTTGACATTTTATAAATACTCAATGTGGGGATGTAGAACCTGCTACAAAAGCTCTTTTTTGTGTCGCATTTCAAAGACAAGGAAAATATTTTTTACACATTATGTCCAGAATTCTAATGAAATTCCGCGGGATTAAAACAATTTTTGTTAAAATATTTCATAAAGCAGACAACATTTTGCATCAGTGATAAAAAACAGAAACACAGGGAACTTTTTTGGGACTCCCACGGTGCAACTGTAGTAGTTGATACTGACAGATTACAAGTGATAACATTTTATGAACAATTTGATGTGTCGTTTTATCATTTTTACATAAATAAATTGACTTCTGATAAAGCTGGCGTGATCCAGTTTACGCAATTCTGTTTATGTACAAGAGAAAGGAGGGTTGGTATAGTCCTCGGTTCAACTTAATGATTATGAATGTGGATTTATTTTAAATCAAACCTCCTTAGCTACTCTATCGTGAAAATTCCTCAATATCATTCAAATCAAAGTCTTAGAATTGCCAATATTTCCCATATTCCTTCTCATCATTTGAAATTAGTATTTTCATTACTTCCCTAGATAGAATTTCCTTTAAAATTACTGTCTTCCAATTACACAATCATCCCACTCACATGTTCAGCATTAAAATTTCGATTACGAAATAAAGAGCTTGTAAGCTAATTTACAAGCTATTTGAATACCCAAGCACATAACGAAAAGGCTTCTTAGAACCAACTAAAGCAAATTATTGAGTTTTTAAAGAATGAGAGAATTTGAAAAAATCTGAGCAAGGTACTTGAAATCCTTTAAAAATATAAATTTCATTTCCTATAGAACATGTGAGAAACTTATGAAATAAATCCAATTACAGTATGTGAAAAGGAAAATGTATAACTTTTGCTGTCTATTTACAATCTACTAGCTTCCACCTGTCTGACTAAGCGCTATCTAGATACCGTCATACAATTATGCATTTACTTTTCACACGATGCTCACATTTATGATATCCATATGATGATGATTTTTCCTTATAAATATTAATGAATAACAAATTCGTTGCTATCTTACTCAAGTAGTGACAAACTTCTGTCTTTTTTTGTGTACTTTTCTGATACTGCCACCTATGGGGTTGCTTCCTTAAAAAAATTGACAGCAAATGTATCAGTCTGTCCATTATAAATGTGTTGTATCTTTAATAATGAATAAAAGTTATTTTTTTTATTATTTTCATCTCCTTGTAAGCGTATAAGTTCTCAAATTTCTCAAACATATAAACTTTATAAGACAAAAGTAATGCGCTCAAGATTATCACTTCATTTAACATTTAAACAACTTTTATGTCCCACCATCTCCACATCCGAGATAGAGAGCGACATGGATAGTTTATAAATATTTTATTACAATGAAAAGATAACCGAAAATATGATTACATGAAGGAAGACTAAATGAATGAATAATTTTTATATTCATACTAACACTGACGACAAGATTGCGACACAATGGTAGATAGATGGGTTTTAGTTGCAGCCATAAACATGACAGTAGCTTCTTTTGTTACTCAATGGACAAAATTGAATCATGTCATTTATAAAAGGATTTTTTTAAAAATATTATGTCATGTTTTTCTTGTTCCTTTCTTCTTTTTTGATGCTTTGGATAATTTTTAAACTTTTTTCAAATTTAATATTTTTGAACTCATTTACTTGTGTTAGACTGAATGACAATCCTGAGAAATCTAAATTTTCAAATGGGATTTTATATAGCAAAGCTGAATTTTTAAAGAGATTGCAGAATAAACATTTCTACTCAAGTATAGGACGAGACAAACCTTTGTCAAATGAAAATCTTGTGTTAAGTTCAAGGTCTAAAACAGTTTTATGTACCTATCAGTATTGAAGCAGTATAGCAACCGTGGCAATGTTCAGAGTGTCTCATAAAAAGGTTGATTGTGTCACGAGTGCCAAAAGTTGATGCTGCGATTCTAGTACCCAACTCGAGCTGTATTGTTCTATTTTTATTTAAAAGTAATCATAACATTTTATATCCACTGATTCTGGTGGAAGTCATTTTAAAAAGAAAATTATAACATTATATTATTTTGTGCTGTAATTCAATAACTCATTCGAATGACGTGCAGCACATTACATTTCTTTGAAATTTGTATCATTGTAAAAATAAAGAATTTTTTCCTCTCTTCATCTGTAATTGTTTGTCAAACTCAACATTAAAGCGAGTGACATTTTTCGTATTTGTATAAGTTGTGAGTAAACGAGAATGGAGATGTTTTTCGTTGCTTGCAATCATTACAAGTATAGAGCCCCCAAAGCAAAAAGAAAAGAAAGGTTACTTGAAGTAAAGAATTAAAGAAAATAGAGAAAGGGAAAATACAAGCGACATAAAAAGTTGTTGTGGGATTCCATTTATGATATTTTATTATGTGAATGAACCATGTGCTTAATATTCTTAATATTTTCTCATTTTATTACATTATCATTTTCATTTTCTACAATGAAACTAAGCAGAAAGGATCTAATAGAAAGCTCTCCTTAATTAGGTCAACAGCAAAGTGACCAAGTAAAAGTTTATTTAGCTTAATTATTTATCCATTGTGATGTGCTTTAATATATATTTCATTTAGGGATGAGACATAATCTATATCCATTACAATCCACCCAGCTCATCAACCTCATCCTCACTTTGCTTGATTTTAAGTACATTCCTTCTTGTTCCTTTCTTTCTCACTCTTTCACATCCTCTGTGTGCTCTTGAGTTGTGTGCCTTAAGTAGCATTACATCTCCACTCTATACTAGATCATAATAATCTTTTATCATCTCAAAAGTTTGTAGTATTTTTTTCTCATTCAACTGACAACTGGAAATAATCAGTGATGGTGACTTTTAATGATTATGAGTTGTTTTTCGTTGTGGGAGTTTGGGTGTGATTTTATTACCAGTGGAATACTTAAAGCAATATTTTTTGTCATTTTTTAAAAAAGCAAAGACATTAAATTAACAAATGCTTTTTATGAATCATATAACAAAGTCTCTTAAGGCAAGTCTAAGTGCTTTTAAAAAAAAACATGGAAAATTTCAATTGCATCCATAAATTCAGAAACAATCTTCATTGAATTTTTGAGCTTTTCTCTTTTTTTCATGAAAATCATTTCAATTTCTTTAAGCATGATTCCATGGCATTTGACATCGTTCACCTTGAACACTGTTGCTTGCTTTCATGAAAATCTTCAAAAAAAGCATGAATCCTCATAAACAGAATTATAATTGTCATTAATAACAACAGTGATTGATTGAAATTTGTCATTAATTTTCATTCCCATTCCAATCGAAGCTTCGCATACGACCCACGTGCTAAAGTCTCATCTCTCCAAAAATATACATCATCATCATCAACATACATCATATGTGTTGTGAGTATAGATGTTCTGTAGTACGAAACGTGTGTGCTCTCTCCTTTCTCTTTCCTCAATATTTTCATTTGTGTGCTGTACTGTAAATTTAATTAAAAATCAAAACATCCTATTCAACAGCAAAACTATGCTGAATGTGACATTATTTTTATTTTTCCATATTATTGTTTTCGTTAAAAATAATGAAAATGAAAAAAGGTTAATTGAAAAACTCTTTAAATATAGAGAGAGAAATAAAAATTGTTTTTCACACTCGGAAGCCGAAAGCTTGATTTGAGGGAATTCAACGTTAATTACAGACTGAAAAATGTAATCATTGAGTTTGATTTTTATAAACAATTTGAGGAAATTGGATTGAAAAGTAAATTTATGATCATAATAGTGAGAAATTTAATGGATTTTTTTTTATAAATTATTTACTATTGTTACTCATCAGCTGGGGTTCTGTGCTTGCTGCTTGTCCTTCAAAAAGACATTATGCATGCATTCAATTCATTCTGAGAAACATTTTGAGTACTTTATTGATAAAAACTATTTTTGGGATCCCCAAATCAAATGCACTTAAATATAGAACCTAAATTAATATATATTACAAGTTGAAGGGTACTTTGTGGGCATTACGCATTTTCATTTTGAAATTACAGGAGACATATTTTATGATTCTTGACATATGTTCTCATAATACACCTTAATGTGTTTCTAAATTTAGATTGAATGACCATTATAACCATAGTTGATGAAATGTTCATTCAAGACATAAGATTTATTTTCAATTTATTGTGAAAATCTTCAACAGGTACGAAAATTTTTGAAATTTTTTCTCTTATTCGACATTTATGATGATTGACATAACCCAAAATTATTTTGATGAAATAATTGGGTAATATTCCTTGAAAATATATTGATTTACACTCTTAGATGAGGTAATGAATTGAATAACCTTTATTTTTCGTTAAAAGTATTTCTGAGCTCCGACCTCACTACAAGGCTTTAATTTTTCAACGAAAACTGTTCCAGACACCTTTATTTCTATAAAGTAGAACATCACAACAGAAAGTTCCAATTTAATTTACCAAAGCATATGTCTTGCATCTTATTAAACTCATTTATCACAAAACATTCATAAAAACTTCAATTCCTCAATGACTTACCGCAAAGTGAAACTAAATGTTAATTTACAAAATCTTTTGAAATAAATGGATCTTCTTACTTAAGTAAATTAAACAAATCCCAAAAGAACTAAATTTATGTCAAAGAAATTACAAAAGTTAATTTTGCCATAATTTTCTACTTAGAAATTTTCTTGATTAATTTATGGTGGAAATTTTCATGTTTTTAAATGTGTTGTGAAATTGAGTTCTTTCAAGTTTAGTTTTAGTTGAGTAGAAAATTTGTATAAAAATGTTTTGTCTTCAAATAATAAGGTTATGACCAAGTAGGATTGATAATAAAATTAAATAGAAACCATTTTGACGAGCCTTGTCGTTTTATGATTAAGACATCTTAACTTCAACATTCAGGTTGATGACATTTCCGTAAATATATTTGCAAATTACATAAGCCTTTAAAAGACAAACAAAAAGCTCTTTAATTAACAAAACATTTGGCTCAAAAATTAATGCTAACTACTACTTATCTCCCTAATGATTTACTTTTATCGATTCATATCAGACCATATATCAAAAATTTTCTGTTATCTAAGTGAAATGTCATGTGTGGTGGTTCCTTTATGTTTTTATAGTTAATTATCTATTCTACACAAGATGATAACTATATCAAATTACGATAAACATTTTGCCCTCATATGATAATTCTCACAACATCATCAGTAGTGTAGTACATATATTTTAGCAAAAAAAAAAAAAATATATGCAAAAAGATAGAAAGGATGAACATGAGCTCTAAAATAGTTTAATGCTATTTTCTTGCTACTCGTGTTTCAATGCTGCCAAGAGGGAGCTTCCAATGGAAAAAAGTCTATTGTCATATGTTGAAAAATAATGTTTAGTATTCGACCTTTGCTCCCGATAGCTGACTGCTTCCGCATTAACATAGATAATTCCTATAGAAATAATTTTAAAGGATTATTTGCAGGGGCTTCTGAGCATTGAGTTGTCCGACAAATTTCAAAGACTGAAAGAAAAAAAATTCAACCAAATTTCATAATACTCAGCTAGTCCTTCCTCATAATACTCGTGACTCACCTGTTGATAGCAAAAATAATTTGCAATTCCAAAACTTTCCGACTATAAAACAGCAAAATGCCGCAATAAACCACACATAAAATAATTAAAAATTAAAAATCCCCTCCTCCTCATTTATATCCCGTATACTTGCCACATATGCGACACAATAGTATAAAAATAGGTCAATTAACTTCACAAAAAGCATTAATGAGAGTAAATCGATATCAATTTACATTTCAATCTATTGTCATGTCACATGTGCTCATATGAGTATGTGCGGCTTTGTGCGCGTTCCATTCAATTGTAACATAAAACTAATTATTTTTAAATTATCTTTCATTGCTCATTGAACGCATAGAAACTTTTACCAACTTTTTATACAATTGGGGATCATCAATAAAAGGGAAATTGTCATAACTTAAAGAAGCTAGAATGGTTTCTAAAAGGACACGTGTACAATTTTTCTAAGAATTTTTTCCCCACAATATTCTTTGTCTCTTGTGGCTTTAGGATCATGTTTTGACTTTTTTTCCCTGTATAACCTTCATCGTGTTTGTATAAAGCTACAAAGTATCATCTCCAGTATAATTCAGACTCTTGATTCTCGGAAAATTTTGCTATATTGACATGAAGTGTTACATTATTTACTCATGTACTTATATTTATTTGTTTTGGACTTTTCGGTATCTAAATGGTTGATTTATGGTTTCATATTTAACTTTACTAAATTGTTGTTAGAATATTAGAATATTAGAATTATAAAATGTTTTCCGAGATCTCAAAAGCTTTTAATTAAGAGGGAAAATTTCTTGTTGGTTTAATTTATTAAAAATATTTTCCTTTTCATTTGAATAATGTGGAATTTTTTCAAAGAATAAATACCTAAGATGCTGTTTCCTTTAAAGTTTTTGTAATTAGAGATTTTAAAAAGTTTTGAGTTTTATATAAAAAAAAGAAAATTCCTGTCGTGGTCGTCTTTAAAAAGATTTATAACTACGAGAAGAACAACTTATTAAAATTTAAGGAATTAAGAAACTAAAATCATAGAATTTAAGATAAAAAAGACGAAAATTTCATTTAAAATTTTGATTCATCCAAAATTGTTTACTAAATTCTTATTGCTTTGAACAGCCAAAAATAGAATGTTTTCAAAAACATTGCTGCATTATTTAGACTGACAGAATTGTGCCTCAAAAATTGTCTTAAATTGTAATTGAATTTACAGAAATTTAATACTAAAAGCAGGCTTCTGTAGCACGTTGATGCAATGTTTTTTCAGGTTAACAGGGTCGTAGCTAGTAGGGTCAACCCTCTTTTCTCCACTGAGTCATTATTCTGATCGTTAAAAAAGTTTTGATCATAAATTTTCGCAAGACTGCAAAACGCAGATAAAAGATAATCTGTAAAAAATTGAAGGTAGTTAAATAAGAAGACAAGACTTATTTTTTGTTATTTTCATCTACATTACATCAACATTCTTCATTTTCTTTATTTCTTTTATTACTAAAATATTAATTTTCATAAGATTAAAAATAAATAAAATCAGATTTTATCTTCATATATTAATATATTATATTTTCTTCTATCATCTTCTTGAAATGTTTTTCATCCATCACAGACTTAATACTTTTTTTTTCTATTTTGTTTAAAAAAATCTTTTTTAAATTTTCCTTCATACTTCCCTCATTTTTCTTCCGTTTTGTATCTACTTACACATTAAAAAATATATATTGTAATTATTTCTATAGTTATATCAATTCTTTTTTGTTTTTATTTACAGCACAGTAAAGCTAATTGAACAATTTTTTTTGTAACAGAGTAGAGTTGTGGCGATGATTTAATTAAATTATGAGCTAAACACAATTTTTTTTGAGTTTAAAATTAAGATGGAAAATTTCAAGAAATCATTCAAATGTGACACATTTTTTGAGTTTTTTTTTGGACATAATTTTTGTTTGACCCCAAAGATGATTTGAGGATAGATTTTGTTCAGAATATCATTTCGTTCTTAATGAAACAATCGAAATTTTGATTTAGCTGAGCAATTTATAGCAAGCGAGATTCGAACTTGTAGCTTTAAATACTAACCCATGACTTACTAGAGGTTACCATATTTTTAATAAAATAAATTATATTTACTGACGGTTATCATTGTCATAAACATGACTTCCTTTCTTAATATCTCAAGTTCCTTCTCGAAAATTCTACAATCTCTTATCTTTTAATTGACTTTCCTCCTTTGGGCCTTAATCTTCGGTAATCTTTTAATATTTCCTTTTTAAAAATATCAAATTTCTCTGATGTATACATAACATTCAACCTTTCTCCGTTATAACATAATTTAATGATTTTTTTAAAAAAGAAATCTTCCATTTTTGCAATTTTTCCACAAATGTTCTATTCTTAAAACAATTCTAGGAATTAATAATGTAATTTCAAATTGAGTTTCATTAAAAATTTATGACATTCTTCATTCAACACAAAGCTTGAAATTTGATGTATCAAAAATATGCTCAAGTATCGAGCTCATAAACTCAAACACTGACAACTCTTGCTCTGAGAAAGTAAGGAGTAAATCATGTTAATTCTGCATGACTAATTTATACTGGAAAATGAAGCTCTGAACTTTTACGGTGAATTTTCTCTGAGCTATTACATTTATCAAGTCCCTCAACAGCACTATTAAAACTTTTCGATATATATTTCTTACCAAAATGAAAAGTCGGAAGAAGATTATGATTTTTATTAATAATATTATTACTGTTGATGATATTTGGGCTGCCTATGTTTCCATTTGATGATTGAATATTATTAATTTCATTACATCTCTTTAAATTTTCATTATTATTATTATTATTGTTGTATTTGATAAGACTATTATCATATATCGAGCCATGACTATTACTCTTATTTGGATGCTTTGTGACTAAAATACTATTGGCTGATTTAGATTTACGTTTTGAGCTTTCATTCATTCTTAATGAACTGTCATGGACATTAAGAAAATTCTCACTGAATTTTTTAACATGACAGTCATCATATTCTTTTGTGTCATATCCATAGTTCTCAATCAGTTTATTTACAATTAAATTTCCCGTAGTTGATCTCATTGTCGTACCATTGTCAATTTCAATTACATGATTCTGTTCTAATGAAATATTCTTATTGCCATCTATCGACGTACATGAGTCAACATTATCATCCAGTTGAGGATATTCTTGTTGCGGTAGTGTCGTTGTTGAAATAATAATTGAATTTTTTGTCGTATCCGATTCAATTTTAATTGTTACGGACGCTGGATTTGTGGTAGATAATTGTTTTTGCTTTGTAAATGTCATATTTGATGTTGGTGCTATTATTGTAACCGATGGCGACTCGTATGTTGAAATTTTATCCTCATCTTCCTCAAATGTTATTCCCATTGCAGTGATGGGTTCAATTTTCTTCATAAATGGTGGCGTTGAGTAATTAGGAAAAGCACCAGATAGCGTGTCTTGATGTTGTGCTGATGAACTTTTTCTGTGCAGATTTGAGCGCATACTTTGACTTGGCTCGAGAGTATCGGGACTTTTGCATTTTAATAAATTTGTAAATGCATGACGAAAATTTGAATTTTTCCATGCATAAATGAGCGGATTCATTGCTGAATTTGACATAGCTAGGGTAAATGCAGCCATATATGCAACAACTGAACTAGTCCTTGTGATATCATAAATTTGTAAACATGCGACTATGAAATACGGTAGCCAACATATTGTGAAACAGCCAAGGATCAATAGCACCATCTGTGGATTTCAAAAAAAAAGTTTTTATTGAAATTGATTGAAAAAAAAAGAATTAAATTAAATTGAGTATTTATTATTCAATCATCACGATGATTGAATAAATTGCGAATTTATATTTTTTACTTTCATTCACGATTATACATTTGAATGGATAAGGAAGACTGTGGAATGAAAATTTTGCATACATAAAATATTAGATATGAGATTTCTTGTTGTACTTGCATAAAAAGATGAAAGGAAGCTGTACATGAGGCAGGAAGCTCCATGAAAATAATAAGTTTCACCTTTTACAGGTTTTCTTCAAAAAAATGTTATTGAAAATTAACAGAAATGATTCTTTCTTGTGGCTGTAGTCCTTGAACGAGAAATATTAAGCATAATTAGATTCTTTTCGAGCCACGTGAACATCAAAGCTCATCCTGTCATGGTTTTGTGATCATTAATCATCTTTCTTGTGAAATATATTTATTTTTAAACTTAAATATTGTGACAATGTAATTCCAAGAAAACAACTTGTAATTCCTAATTTACTACGGTACGCAATAATACGAGTTGTGAGACTTGTCAGAGAAATCAAAAGTTTTTATGATGGAGAGATGAAGAACTTTTCTTTAATTTTAAAGGCATTTCAACAGTGAAAACATTTTCTTCCGAAGTTATTAAAATATTGTAATCAAGTTTTGTAGACATTAGAAGAATTCAGCTAAGCTAAAGTTTAACAAGTTTTTGATAGAATTGGAGGGTCAGAACAAAATCTCAACACTACATACAACTCATAAAAATTACTTCAAAGAATCTTTCAAAGTCAAACAACCAAAAAGCCTCTAAATTTCACCCCGCGGAAAATGAGGGTCAATTTGCATTCTTGAAAGAATCTAATGCAAAATTACAGTCACGTTATTTATAGACATCAAAATGTTTGTTCAATTTTTGTTTTTCGATTTCACAAGGTTGGAAAGTAAATTTATGATAATGTCACATAATAGATAATATTCATGTACTTTTCCCATTCATACTTTTCATAATAAACATATTTTAATTTTTTTTCTTCTTTGCGAAATTATAATGGATTTTGGGTGAATTTTTTGTCAAGGTTTTATAACTCAATCGCACGATATTGATAATGTCTGTTTGCGAAAAGTGCTGTCATTTTTATGTACGAGAAGAGTAGATTTATGCATGAATTTCAGTGATGAACTTTAGACATTTTGCAAAATTATTTTGATTTTTTCTCGGAACCGTGATATTGACTTTCTGATAGGAACTGTTTCGCTGAAGTCAAGGATAATATAAAATTCGATACATGTGAAAACTTATAATTATTCATGTAATTTAAAATGAGTTCAAGGAAGTGAATTGATACAGAAAATAACTCAGCTTGTATTAAAATTTAATGAAGGCTTAAAAGCAATTTTCACAAAATTAAATTATTCAGGAAAATCTCTTCAAAATGTTCAATCGAAATCTAATTTCATTTTATTCTTTTGTATTGCTTAATTTCACATTCATATCAAATAACAAGTCAATTCAAATCAAAATCAAGATAAATGAGATAATGCATCACAAAAAATTTCCTATTCATGCTTGAGGAATTCATCTTTTGTTTTCAAAAGACTGAAATATTTTAACAAACATTTACAAAATTTATCACATAGCATATTTTCGATGAAAATTTTCTTCCATACAAAAGATCATGAATTTTTCATGAATTTTCGAATGATTCCTTTCAAACTCCTTTCGCTTGTATGCTTATTCTCGTTAAATATGTATGCTGTATCTCTTCTTATTCTCTTTATTATGTCTTATGGTCGTTTTAAAAAAATTCATATCAAAAATTTGTCAGATTTCAGTAACTTTTATACTCAAAATATTATTGATCGTTCACAAATGACGTCTTTCCAGTCGTCATTTATAAACGTCCCCCTTTTAATACTCTTCTTACCTGAACAGATTTCCAATCAGATGTTCCTTCTTGTTGTCCTGTAACTCGTAGCTGTTTAACTTGTTTGGATGCTTCACGCCATATTCTACAATACACGAAGAACATGCAGAACCATACCATTGAAAAGACAGGTGTTATAACTCCAACCATATACCATGGATAAAATATTTGATCGAATTCACACTCGAGGTTATTATCCCACTTATTCCATATTAATGGAATGGCAGCAATAACAAAGCCGACCACCCATCCGCTGGCCATTAAACATAAAGCAATTTTACGTGTCATGTATCTGTGGAAATGATATAAGAAGAGAAAAAAAGTTGAATTTATTGACATCTATTATAGATGAGAATCAATGCACGAAAATGTCATAAAAAGCTCGCTCTTTTCATTCATTTTGTAATAAAATGATGAGTATGTTATAAAATTATTACATTATTGCTTCTCTTGTCGTCATTTTCATCACACAAAGTTGCCATTTTTACTGCATCATCATTAGTAAAGAATGACAATATGTACAACAACTTTATATTGCGCGAAAAATTATATGTAGGAAAAAATAAAAATGAATGAAAAAATCAATAGAAGAAGATTCATTATACATACGAAATTGTATACACTTATGTGTACTTGAAAAGTCTTCTTTTTATTACTTCCACCTCTCCCACTTTATTATGTGAATCATTTTTCCGAATTTTCTTTTGCGCTCATTTTTTTAGAAAATATAATAACGATTGCGTGATCAGTTTAGTAGGTTTTTGAACTTTTTATGAAAATATCAATGTGAATAGTTTTGAAGTGGATAAGCTGAAATAGCTCATATAATTGCTTCTTTAATCAGTTAAGAGGACCCTACACTAGCTGGAAACTACAGATCTTTTGAATATCTTATCTTAAAAATGTCTATAATTAAATTTCATATCCTGTATTGTGGTGATATCGAGAAAAAGTATTTATATTGTCCAAGATAAGGCAAACTATTTATTACAGTCTATATATCAATGAATGCGATAATTGAATATCTCTGTTTGACCATGAAAATTCTGAACTTTATTTTTGGCAAGTCTCAGAGTTTTCAATTACAGAATACCTTTAAAATTATGCTATTTTTATCAAATTCTCTGTTTTGACAATTATTTTTTGATAAATTCATGAAATGCGTTTTGCTAGAAAACAATAATGAACTGTGCATATATATAACCGCTTTATACTCCTTCATATTTTCGTATTCTTAAAGTGAAGACTCGTAAAAAAATATTTACATAGAATTTTTTTCTCATTCATATGAATGAAACGTATGTATACATAAATTGTTATTATACATAAAACTGAATACCAATTTCAATAAAAACACCTGCCAATTGTATATTCCATCCTTTTTTTCTACTGATTGCTTAATTATAAAGAAACTTTATTCAAGTATGTCACGAAAAATTAAAGGACTTGTGAGTAAGCACATCAATTTATAGACATTGGCACATGACACGACACGATGTGTCCTTTTTATGCATTTCACTTTTACTATATAGCTCACGTGTTTCCTTGTTCCGTTCCGCAATATATATTTTTAAAAAATATTTTCTTTCAAATGCGTTAAAAATAGCTCATATAAAAATTAGCAATAATAATCATATTAAGGAAATAATCACGCGTATTAATACTTTGTATGCTACGGACGGTAGAAACATGTTTAGAACATGTTGTACGACGCCATAGAGAATTAATCAATTAAAATTTTTTTGGATACTTTTTTGATCACGTTGAATACCTGTACATGACATTGAACTTCAGGTGCGATAATTCTTTTTACGACCATATGAAAAATTGAAAATGTCTTGAAGAATGATTTTCATCTTTAATGATATTCCCATGTGTTTTATATAATTTGAGAATTAATGTTCTTGTTAATGTACACAACCTTGAATAATTCGGAGAAAAAAACAAAGAAAATTATTAAGGTTTACCGCGTTGGAGGACAAAAGCTTGAAGAATCATTGTAGCTACTCTGCTTTCTAATAGAGCAACGTTTAAAAATATCATTTTTCGTGTTTTTTTTTTGTTCAATTATTTATGATTTATTAGTAGTGACATTTAAATCATGTTCGAAAAATAAGAATAATTATTCTAGGAAAATTATCAACGAAATTAGCCATGAATTGAAATAATATTTTTTTAAAATGTCATCATCAATCATTGAATTATTAATGCCTAAATAGTCCAACTGAAACTAGTAAAACTCTTTTAACAAAGTAAATTCTTTTCTTTGAAGTTATAATTAGTAAAACTTGCAAGTTAATTGGCATGAATAATTCATGAAAAAAAAAAGTTAATTACAATTTGAAAAGGGAAAGATTAATTTGTAAGAAATTATTTTCATGTCTGTATATTTCTTAACTTGATTAAAATTTGCGGTCTTTACGGACTTTAGTCTGAATTTATTAGTGGGAAATCTTCCAACAGACTCCAACAGATTTATTTTTATATCTAGATTGGAATTTGTGACTTTTCATTTCTGACGGAAATTTTTATTCTTATAGAATTTCACATAATGCAATAATCGCAATCTCCTCAGTGATATCAAAAATTTTTTTCATATCTGCAAAGCAAAGTATAGATTTTTGGTAGTTTCATTGCCTTTGCGGGGATTCGAATTTTAAAAGAAAATTAAATCATCTTTAATTTGCTGTTTAAGTATTTAATTATGCTCGTTTGATCATTTAAATGATGAAATTTGCAGAAAAATACCTTTTTCCTCATAGAAACAGGAAGTTCTAGCTTTCGTTAACAGAAAATGCTAAGTTTATATTAATTACTCAATTATTTTTAATCCATTTTCGAAACTCGGAACTTTTCTGTAATAAATGACATGTTTGACAACCGAAAAAGGCTGTCAAAAAAATGAACCTCGAAATTTTCTAGAAGATTTATCTTAAAGTACCTAGCAACTATATTTCAAAGTCATGAAAAAATTACAAACCAGACAGTTTATTTATTAAACTGACATTGTATATCTGAAGTAAGACAAAGAATCTTCAGAAATAATATATCACGTAGAACTATCCGTAAGTAGTCAATAAACTTGCCAAAATGACCATTCAACCGCCTCATAAATCGTACTACAAAATGAATGTAGGAGCGAGTTCATTCCCATAAGACACACGCCATAAAATGAGCCATTTCAATGTGATAAATATGTTATTTTCGGGCACTTGACACCATCATCAACTCACCTGCTATAGTGTAATGGATAGCATATCGCAATATATCGATCGAGTGCGATAGCAATAAGATTCCATATAGAAACGCAACAGGCCATTATCACAAGAAAGAATCGTAATAAACAGAAAGGTTTACTTTCGCCTAGTTCCGTGCTGAGGAAGAATGCAAGATGATAAGGCAATGTAAGACCGACTAGAATATCCGAAATGGCTAATGATAAAACAAATTGATTTGAAATGACACTCCTAAGCCTACGACTATAGCGTACGGCTAGGATAGTCAATATATTTCCACATAATATCAACACGAGTAGAATTCCATCGAGAATTGCCCAAATTAGAAACTCATCCTGACCTCGTGCGGCATTGAATGCATCAATCGTTGCATGATTTTCCTCAGTTATACTTGTTGACATATTGTCTGTTATGTCTTGCGACGATGCTGCTATATTTGTGACCATTGTTTATAAATTTTTGTGATTTTTTTTTTAATTCTTTTCGCTTCAATAATTTTCTCATCAGACTCAGCTCATAATAGCTGAATAATTACTTTGTGTATACACTTTTAGAAAGCAAAATAATATTAATGATTATCTCATCTCCTAATGCACATTGCACATTTCAAATATTTTTTCTCGATTCATTCATTTTATTTACACTCAAAACACAAAGTTTATTAATCTCACAGATCGTCTTCAAAATATTAAAGCCGTAAATTTTATTTTTTTCTTGTTAAGTTCACAGAATTTTTGGCTTGGGAGAATTTTTTATCATCGCACTTGCCTGCTTCACATAATATTATAGCTTGTCTATTTTTATTATGATAATATTATTTTTTTTGTTGGTGTATGTTGCGATGTAAACTAGTAAAAGTTCAATAATCCAAATCTCATTTGCATATTTTTCATATATTCCTTCTGTTATTACAAGTAGATGTGATTCATTTTTGAGTTTATTTTCTTCTTTTTACTTTGTGAATTTGAATTTATGAATTCTTTATTATTTTCAACACAAATTTTCGTCAAACATCCTTCCGACTTCTTTTGACACAAACTTAAATCTTTTTTGGCAACACAATTAAATTTTCCTCAACCGAAGAAAAAAAATCTCTCAACAATTTCAATTCCTTTCAATTTTTCACAATTTACAACTATTTAATTATGTGAATTTACAATACTTGGCAGAATTGGATAACAGAAAAATAATTCCTAGACTTAATTAAAAATCGACCTGTATGCTTTGACTGTCGAGCGATGAGTAACGGTATGGCACAAAGTGTATTATTTTTCTTTTTTTACTACTTTTCATTTTTTTTCCTTGTGTGTTACATTTTTTCCGATATTGCATGTTCATGCCATGAGGATTTACTTGTTCTCTCATATACTCTCAACTTTTGATGCTCATTCTCTCACGAGTTGCTTTTGGGAAAATTTTTTCTTTACAACTTGTTGTTGCTAATGTTTTGGTTTTTCCTTTATTGCCGAGTTTTGTAAACTCTTTTGAGAGCGGAAAATTAATTGAAAATGAGAGAATGAGAGAATCTAACAAATTTTCCGATAGCATCTCTCTCATCAGCAACGACGACATGCAGTTTAAAGTTAAAGAAATTGCAATTGCTAATATCAAATCAACATTTAAATATGTGCTAGAATTTCACAACTCAATAATTCCTTTTTAATGAAAATTGTTCACTTCCATCATCTTTTAACAGAAAAGAGTCATTGCCTGTAAGGGATTTTATGGATTAATATTGTCGAGTGGGTGATTTTATTTATTCAGTTTGTTATATTGGCTGTCTTAATAATAGAAGGAAGAATGTCATTAGTTTTCAATTTATAAGGAAATTTCTCAAAAGATTCAAAGTTAAAGAACATTAAAGGATGTTGCATAAAAGACGTCATTACTAAAATTTCTAGGAAGTTCTGCTGGTTCATACATCAAAAAATTTAAACTTAAAGAATCTCATGCATTTCGAATGTTATTTTATCAACTTAGATTTGCATGTTTATCTCAATAAGTAACAGGGAAATGTTGATTAAGTTTCTTATCTTCTTAGTCTGTTTATTTTTTATCAAACACTTTCATTCAATTGATGAGCTTTCCTGATCTTTTTGTTCATTTTAAATGGATTTTTCCGAAACTTTTCATTCAACAAAATCATTAAATTCCTTTCAATGCATTGAATAATTGAAAAAGTAGTCAAAAGGAAAGGAATGAACTTATCGGACAGTGTTTCAATGCAGAAGAGCATTTTTCAAATATGCGCCATTTCTCACACATTCTTTAAGCTCTTAAATCACTCTAATGCTTTTACTCGATCTGTATGTATTTTATTCAAAAGAATGAACATGAATTTTGTTTTCGTACACGATGTGAGATAATTCTTTATTCCTTTACATTCTTACAATGCAAAAGCTTGAAAGCTTGAAAGCATTTTTTCTGCCTTCTGGACATGAAGTGAAATGCTTCATATTATTATTTCCTCTTCTTCCTGCGTGTGTATTCTTGACTCTTCTTTATATTATTTATGTACGCTTATTTTTTTAAAAATAAAAATATAAAAAATAATAATATGAGCAAAAAAAGGAAACTGTAATGTGACGTGGAGGAAAATAAGAAAAAAAAGAAGGAGGAGGGTATAAGACATGCCAGTAAATGAAGACATGGAAGAGCACGAGAAAGTTTTAAATTGAGTTTTAATGAAAATTTATGTTATTGCACTCTTTCCTTACCATATTTATTTATTATTGTTTATATCTTTTCACCTCTAAAGGGCTCATTCCGATTATGTTGCGAGCACGTGCTGAAATCATTAAAACGTGGACGAGAGACTCTTTTGACATTGCTCGAGGCATTTGTTTATGATCCGCTGATAGATTGGGCAATTGGTGAGGATAATAATGCAACGGGTGGTCTTGCAAACATAAGTGGCGGTGAAAAAGGAACTACATCAGCTGGTGAGATCTCAGCGGCAAGAAAGCTACTTGAACGTGAAGTCACACGAGATACATTGGCGATACGATTTACAGAGATTAAAAATGATTGGACACAAAATAGGTAAGTGCTCTTTTTTGTCACATGACTGATTATCAACATACTTTACATGCATGAGATAACAATGGGATCATGGGAATATTGAAGAGTTCCTTTTTTGTGCTACAAAGGACAACAATTTTACACTTTTACTGCTCCCAAAGTCTCATTTCTCAGCTTTTCACTCCATTGTTTGATTTTAATGGGAACGGATGGACTCAATATGTATTTATATCGAGGTAAATGATCTCAATGCACGACACAATCAAGAAAATTTCCTTTTCTATTCTTCTTCAATGTCTTACTCGTATTTTTGTGTCTCTCATTGACGAGATGAAAGCTGAGTGTAAACATAAAAAAAAAGCTTGATGTCTTTTTTATTGATAAATAAACAGTAATACAAATTATGAGCGTGCAAGCAATCTCTTCTCATCCTCCCATCATTTGTGAGGGAAAATGGAATATTGAAGACAAAAAAATAAACAAACTCAGAGTCGGGTTTGAATGGGTGTAATTGATTGAATCTTTTTAATGTGAATGTTTTTATCCGATTCTTAGAGAATTCTTGTAGAAATCATGAGAGGTAGAATGATTTTAGGAATGGGAGAATGAATTGAAATTGGGTCTTATGGAAAATTTAACATAATTTCAAAGAATATTTAAACCAAGTCCTGTACTGAATAATGATCAGTTTCTATTCACATTAATAAAATTCTATCAAATCCAACTCTGACTGAAAAGTTATTATATTTCATACAATTCACACTCTCATTGTTTGTAAATAAAATGGTTCTTTTATTTTCATAAAATTTCCTTCGGAGTCAATTACTAGAGCACAATTTGTTAAGAACGACCAATGCAACTTATCTTGCATCAAGTAAACAAATATTTTCTTCCCATTTTTTTGCGCTTGTTATTGCGACGTTGTTTTCATTTAATATTTCTTATGTATGGATCTTTATCAAAAAGGAAGTTGAGAAAATTTATTTTCTTAATGAAAAGTGAAGACTGTGCTTTATTGAAATGGAGCATAAATTGAGTACAATAAGTAAATTTTAGCTTTAAACTGATTCATTGTTTTCCATTTCTTTAAAGAATTGCGATGTAAGAATCGTTCGAGGAAAGTCGATTAGATAGTCAGACATGTTATACAAGATTCATGTTGTTTGATAGAGATCAGCTCAGTATTTCATTCATGTAAAGGTTTCTCATAGATCACATGCGATGCAAAAGAATAATGCGTAGATTCACATGATATTAAAGTCAGCCCTCGTGCTTTCTAAAAGGTTTCATGTTCATTGAAATTTCTAGAATAAGATTTTATGATGAAAACGATTTTTTTAAATTTCGCGTGCGTTGATTTTTTAAGAAATTGTTAAGCAAAGTGAACCACCTGTTACCTACATATATCATTCATAATTTAACGTCTATTGAGAATTGTTTTGTAATCTTGTTCTTATAAGATTTCAATTTCATAATCCAATTGATGCTTAGGATTCTGATTATAGGCATTTATTTGAACATATTCAAATCACATGAACAATTTATCAAAGCTGATTATCATGAAAAGAGCAAACACTTGCACAACAACTTTAACCTTTTCATAAAATTCAGCAGTAAATAAAATTTATTTAAGGTCAAGAAACAAGACATCTAAAGATTATTGTACTAAAAATTAATTATTAACCTTAATAAACAGATTAACGTCATTAATAATTCTTATACGTTCCTAGTAATTGTTAGACATGCTAAGATGCCCAACAAAAGCCACCTAAGAAATTTATGCTTCATTCATGTCCCAAAAAAATTTGTTTTGGGTTTCGAAAGGCACGTGCAAATGTAATTATGATGAAGCTTTAAACTTTTGATAACAATATGAAGAGAATAGGAAAGGTTAGGCGTGTAAAATATTTTTGGAAACATTTAGTTGTAAGGTTGTTTTATCTAAAACCTTAACTGACTCATTTTTAAAATGTTTCACATAACTTAATAACTCCCACTTTGAAGAAATTTAGATGTGATGTCTAAATGACCATTTCTGTGTTTGCCTACGGTAACAAAAGGTAGCAGGTCATCACAAACATGAGAAAATTTCCGTCAAGTGTTAATTAAAGCTCATTTTCTATCCAATTTAAATTTCTTTTTTGATTATTAATCATTATCATTTTTGCTAAAATTGCTGTGCTTTATGGTGATAAAAATTGGCAACAAACATTGAACTTTACAGAAATTAATTGATTTATGGGTTCCTTCAAAATAAATGTAATTATGAAGCCATTTGTATTTGATTTTGAAGTGGTAAGAATTGTCAAGAAAAAGGTTCATAGTTCTACAAATATCCCATGTCGCCACAGAGGGTTTGTTTACTGAATGGAAAATGAGTAAATAAATCTGTGGCTTTATATTTTTACATCATCCCATGATAAGCAAATACTAATGAATTAGTTTCTCGATTTCTCATATTTCATAATTTTATTGCTTCTATTGATAATCAAATAAATTATTTCCTCATATCCACCTACGCAGACCTAATGATTTCTTCATTATTTCATACTTATGAATGACTCTTGATATGAAAAGTTTGCGTCATCATAAACTTCCTTAACAATTTTCCTTTGGTATTAGAAATACATGTCGATATTTTTGTAAAATTGTCTGTAATTCTGTCCTCGGGGGAGCTTTTAAATTTTAAATTGAGCTGGAAAGAAGAATCTTGTAAAATACTTGGCAACTTGTTGCTTTGTTTGGGAATATTCTTGTTTTAATTGAGATAAATTCTGTCGTGTGTTCTTAAAAGTTTATAAAATTTGACAAGCTTTAAATTTTTGATACCTAAACTTCTACAACCAGAGGGCATTAAAAATCAATTTTTTCTACACAATAAACTGTGAATCATGTCAGTCATTCATCAAAATATCTAGTTCTATAAAACATCAGCGTAAAATGTGCATGCTGCACAGCATGGGGTTAAAAATATTTACAGCATGAGCTCCTCAACTCTCACAACTTCAAAGCTTAATGATGCAGCACGTGTCTCTAATCTTTCAACTCGTTCTAGCAAAAATCAGACTTTGATCAACAAAGCACTAATCCCTGGCCAAAGCATACCACGAAAGGCAAAATTTCAATAGAATATAATCTTTAATGACTAAATTTAGCCGATAACCTTTAAACTATGTTTTAATGAAATGCGTAGGAAATTCATTCATGCTGTGCACAGCAGCTATTGAAATGACATAGATCATGGCCTGCTTCTGTCTCTTCTTCTTTTAATTTATCAAGACAAGATGTTCTACATAAAATTCAATAGAGTCAAAATTAAGGAATGTGTGTGAGCGTATTAAAGCAAGTTAAGTTTCGTGAATGGCACCAAAAGTTTTCTTATTTTATTCCAACCATCCATTCAGTGAGTTTATACTGAAATTGGATGGCCTGTAGTCTTTACAACCATTTTGTTTAAACTTAAAATTGAAAATCTTTTACCATCTTAAATGAAGCATAAACAATTTCGATATCTTTAAGAAGTCCATTAAGAAGGAAGTTTCACCTTAATTCTTGGAACTCAGAAAAAGTTTACTTTTTTTCTTATTTCTCTTGTTTTCGAAAAACTTCCCGAAATATTTTATCTTGTTTATTCCGTTTTGCTTTTATTGGTTTTAAAATATTAATGGATTTGAAAACTTTCAACTTCTGCAGCGAAAGTTTAGTGCTTTGAGATTCTTTGGCGCAGTTTCTTAACTTAAGAATTACTTTTGTTGAATTTTTCGGAACTCTAAAAACTCAAAATCATCAAATTCAAAATTGTTCTTTGCATCAAAAAATGAAACAAAAGAAACAACGGAAAGACGAGACTTTTCCACTTGCATCCTTTTCATTTTCCTTTCAATAAATCTCTATTAACCTTTTCCTTGTCAAGTTCAATTTTCCATTTTCTCTCATTTTGTGCATGCATTAAAAAATACACAGAGAGCGACAGAACAAGGAAAATGAAAAAGGACACAGTTGTAGGATTGATGGGATTGTTTTACTGAAGCCAATATGAGACGGTACCTGAAAAGTAATTTACTGGCTCTTTATTTTTAAAAGAAAACGAAGCTAATGAAGAGTTTTGTGTGGGTGGAGGTCCAAGTAGCGCATTTTGCTTTAAAGTGGGATCTTAAAATAATTTAAGGAACGAAAATTGAATTAAGATCTGCACGTAGACATGAGAAAGTTGACATTTTGAGTCTGATTGACATGAATTGTGGTTTAAAATTTGTTGAGACACAGATCCTTAAGCAGTCACTCATGTAGACATCACCATTTGCTTTGCAAGAAATCATCCGGCAAATGAGAGTAAAAGTTCATCGAAAATACAAAAGAGACCCAAAAACCTATTATTTTTCTTAATGATATCACAAGCAATCATAATAAACCTTCAAACTTGTTGCTCGTGTTTCTTCTTAATTATTTACATTCACTCCATTCAAGATATTTGCATTGTTTGATATCATAATGCCGTATTTATTTACTTTATTCTTATTATCATGCCATTTTTACGCGCAGTTTTCCACGAAAATCATTTTCAACTCGTATGAATGAGTAGGTGTTTGGTTGGCTAGCCGGATGTCTGCAGGTATCATTCGATGTTGAACGATTGATTAAGTTATGAAATGATTGGTTGATTGAGTTTGTACGTGGTTATGACTTGTAAATGTGTGTTACCTTACTAGATTTCGAAATGATGTCTGGTCAGAGTTATGACATTGAATTCTCATCATAATTGATTGTTTTTCATGTTGTTAGGTTATGTAAATATCTAGGCAACAAATTAAACTGTCAATTAATTGAAATATGTAATTAAAAATTATTATAGAACCATGAAATTTATTCAAAAATTTAATTTGACCATTAAATGCGTCGCAATAATCAACACTATGAAAATTCTAATTCTTACTAATTTTCCTTTATTTTCTTCCACACAGAGACGACGTTTACAATCAATTGATATCAATGAAGACATTCCTAAGTGATTTGTTAAATAGTCGCAACAATTTGCAGCGCCTAGAAACACAAAGAAATATTCTATCAAAACAAATATCATTAGTTCGTGATGTTGAAGCACTTGGATCAGCCATGCATAGTCATTCGCTTAATACTCTGTCACAGCGTTATGCTATATTTAAGAAGAAGAGGAATGACGTAAATTTGATTAAGAACATTTTATACGAAAAGGCCATTGAGTCAGAAAAATTGATTGAGGATTATAAAAGTCTTATTAAGGACGAAAATATCATCAGCAACTCATTGATTGAACTGAAATCTACAACATCTCATCTATCATCTGAGTTTGAGATTGTAAAGGACTTCCTTGAGAATTCTAATCAAGGTCAAATATACATTCAAAGCGATAAGTTGAGGAATGAATTAAACAGCTTAACCGTACAGCGAAAAAGTCTTATTGAGAATGTTTTTGAGATGCTATTGCAGTACGTTAATGTAATATCTTTCTATCCGCATGACCATGTACAGAATCATCGTCTTACAAAATATTCAACATGGTGTCGTTCCCTAACGGAAAATAAAAGTCAAGAAATTTCACGACAAATTGCTATGGCTTTTCATGCATCATTCGGCGATGTTATGCTGAAAGAGAATCCAGAAAATGTAATTGCATTTAATTTTCATCTGCAAACATATCTTGCTGAATTGAATTATAGATTACAAGGGAATTATCAAAAATATCAGCAATTCATTGAGGTCGATGGATCATTTGATGTCATGAAGAATGAATTTGATAAATTCATGCACGAGAGTAACGATGAGACATTTATGGCATATGAAATGATCAAGATGATAAAGCGCTTTCTAACTATTGAGACATCAGCATATGGCACGAATAATCTTGCTGATTTAGTAATCAATGACCGATGGTTTATGGATGAAATTATGATTCAAGCATCATTCTTGTCCAACATGACAAACATCCTTATCGATTCCGCATCGAATCATAAGAAGAATCCCCTTCTTGTCAACAGCTTGGAATGCTTTACGACAATAACCGAGATGATGGAAACAACCGAACGTATCAAGCATGAATTTCAATTAAATATCATACCACAAACTTTAAAGGGTATTATATCACAAGATAAAAGCGTATTGGATATGATATCGTCGCTATCGAATATTACAAAGTCACCAATATCAGAATTGTTGACGAAATTAGAGGAGGATTTCGTGAACTGTATACAAAATCCAAATCAAAGAGGATTGCTGCGTGCAGCTGAATTGTCAGAATCATATACTAACATGTATACACAATATCAACAGCAAGAAGAAGATACCATGGGTAAAAAAATATTCATGTCATGTCATAGTGCGTTTGAGGAGCTGTGTAGATATTCCAAGAAAATTATGAGCTTTGATAAGTTGTTGAGTGCCATACCAGAAGAATGGGCTACAATTACAGAAATTGAACAAGCACGTATGCTCTTCATAACACCCATGAAGACCAATATATTTATGACACTCGACCAGTTATTTATGGTCAAGCGTATACAAACTTTAATTGAATTTTTCGGCTATTGTCTACAAATTGCATGGGCTTTTAAAGGATCTGGCGTTATTGTCAATCTCGATATTGAATTTTTAAGTCATCCATTAAAAGTTTTCATAACTGAACTTTTAACAAAATGTGTTTTTGGACGTGGATCGTATGCTTTGTCAATCTCCGTATGCTGTTTATTGCAACATAAAATGGAAGAATTGAATGGCAACAACAAGTGTTTCAACACACTTGAACAAATGTGCTATCAAATGCCAATGAACTCAAGTCACATGACCTATTGTGAAAAGTTATTTGGAACGCTTGAAGAAAAGTTTAGAAGACAGAACTCAAACGACTATTATCAAAGGCTCATTCATCAGGAAAGTGAGTACGTACAACATGTGACATGGATTATAAGTTGTCATCATTGGTTACATGAAGATTACTTGCTGACTCATCCAAATGTGTTGCCACCGATACCAAGAGCTTCACTTCTTATACAATTTCAAACCTTCATTCAGACATTGTCAAATTGGGGTGCATCAATTCATAAGATTGATGAGGATGTAAAGAAGTGTTCAGGTGCGATTTTACAACGTTTAAAATGGGCAACAGGTGCAAATCCTATGTTGAATGAATTGCTGTATAACTTTGAGTCGATTTCACGTGACAATGCAATGGAATTGGAACGAGATAACAAATATGCAGAACATGCATTGAAATGTTGTATTGCAATAATTAATTATGAAATGTTGAGATATAAAACACCAAAAGCAATTGTCAGTGACGAGGAATTCCTGAATTTCCTACAACAATGGGAAAATGTTTGCATTTCAGAACGCAATATTGCTCACACAGTAAATCCAATCGAGGAAGGAATTGTTGAATTGCTTGATCCAGAAGGACCAATTGAACGATCATGGATAGAGAACATAACGTCACTAATTGATGACATGATAAATCAAGTGCATAATGAAATTGACACTAATGAGAAGTGCATGGTATCGGCACAAGATAATCTTCATCTTTCTGCTCATAAATTGCGCAATTTAATGTCAACACATCACCGCATATCTGCTGACATAAGAAACCTACTGAAATCAATTTTGAAATATGATGAATGCGGAACTAACAATGAATTGCTACGAGAATATTTCTCCACTTACAAGACATACATCGATAATGTTAGTGAGTTGCATGGAAATGTATTGAGTAAGGATTTCACTGACTCAATGGTAAAACAAATTAGTGAGCAAGTTAACAGGTCTCTCGCCGTATCCAATGAAATTTATAATGGTTTATTCAGTTTTGAAAAGACATTGGGTGGCATGCTGACAGATTGCAATCAAAAGATAATGAAGCTGCAGAGAAACCAATCGGAAAATTATTCCATTGAACATTCGGATAGCCCCGTGATGAAAAAAGGTTTGTACCGTGAATGTTTATATCAATTTCAAATTGATATGGATTGTTTAGTTCTATAATTTTTGGGTGATGTCTTTTTGGTGATTTTAAGTCAGGTCCTAGATTTGTAGATAGAATTTTAATATTTTTTTGCAACTTAAAAGCAATTTATTCTTAATGTTCCTTTATAAATTTGTAGCCTTTCAAGACATTGAACTTCCATTTGATTTAAAGTTTTTTTTACAATTTCTTCAACTATCCTGGTACATTAATCTGGTATTCTCTAGTTCTGTTTTCAATGAAACTCCGAGTCATTTTTAATTATAAGCAAGTGTCCTTCCTTCATGCTTGATGGGTGACATTTCCATTTTTTTTTTCTCTGTTTCACCATACATCTGTATAAAAATTGTTGTAGCTACAAGGCATTGACATTAACACAGAATTGATTAAATTTTTTATCTCTCTTTTTATTTTCATTCTCTCATTTCCTTTCATTTCTTGCATATATCATCATGATCATCATCATTGCCACCGTTTGCAACTGATAACAAAACCGATAGTATCAGGATCGAATCAAAAAGAACAGCGTAAAAATGTCTATGGAGTGTCAGTATGGAGACGAATAAGGAGCAAGCTAGAGGGAAGAGATCCAGATGCCAATAAAACATCAAGAGTACAAGAGCAAGTCGACTGGATGATTCGCGAAGCATTGAATCAAGATAATTTGGCATTGCTGTACGAAGGCTTCACTTCATGGGTCTGAAATAACATCGAATGGATTAATTGTGTGGTTTCATCGGAACTTTTTGAACTCTTAAAAAAATATTTCACTGCAAAAAAATACAAAAAAAAAAAAACAAAAACCGCAAACGGAACCATTTCTATTTTTGATTGGAAATTGATTCTCGTGCATCATTGAACCAGCATAAACATCTGCGTGTGAATGAAACGGTTTCAAACTTATTCCAACATCAAAATAATGTGACAAAAAATAATTATATCAACGAAATGAAGACGTTTTGCAAGTAGTTGCTAATCAGCTACAGTCACTTGTGTATGAATCGCCCAAGTGACTTGACTAATTAATTAATCAAAATCTTTTTTTTCTTTGTCTCTCTTCCGTTTCCTCCTTTTCTTATTATTTTTTGGATTCATTATCATTTAAGGAATGAGAATTTTTATTTTGTTGATTCGGTTCTTTTTTGCATCATTTTCTTTATTTTGTTGCCAAGGCGAAGCAACTTATAAAACATTTTAGAGGGTTTTTGAATCAAGAACTGTTCTGAGATTATTTGAAAATTGTCTCTTAATTTCTTGTCCTTTATTTTGTCAATTATTATAGCAAATAAAAGGAGATATTCGGCTGTTCTCTATTCAAAATTAGAGTATTACTATCTATGTGCTATAATTGTAGTAAAAATTAAAATCTTTAAAAACTTTCGAAGATATTTTTGAAATCATTAAGATTGGAACCTTGAAATTTCTTAAATTCTTTGAAACACTTTGAAGTAATATTATCTTAACATCATAACAGAAATTGGATATCTGCTTTAAAAACAAATTTGTTTTCAATTTTAAATCTTGAATAAAGTTTGATATTTGGATGTTTTGTAGGTTATGCATTCTAAAGGTTGAAAGAACCAGCCTAAATCACTGATCAAACCTTGAAGTAGCTTCTCTTTTCTAAAATAATCGCATTCAAATTTTGGTTCTACATAATTAAACCTTATTAAGGAAAAATCTACAATTATAATTTTCAAGCTTACTGAAATAAGTAAATGAGACAGGCAAAATAAAAAACAAAAATTAATAACAATCATGTCATTTTCAATGTATCTTCTTTACAAATAATAATGATAATGCTTTTTATTATTCATGCAAGAAATGAATAATTGCAATAAAAAGCTTATAAATAAAATCCTCAAAAACAAGAAGCTAAATTGTATTATTAAAATTTAAATTTGTTATGATTTATTTTTCAGTTTACTGAATGCATAAATATATATTCATAAGGATGTCTCGTTCTCGTTCATTTGTTTTTTTCCCTTCCACTTTTAAAATAAATATCAATTTCAGGCTGTACTTTTGGATTCATCTGATAAAAATAACCATTTACAGAGATTACCGGATATAAAATTATACCTTGACTTCTTTGGTTTGACTTTGTTATTTTTCAAAGTAGCTTTTTTTGTGAAAAAGTTGTTTGTGTGTTGCGGTCAACAAACTCGAGATTACATCAAAGAAAGATGGAATCAGGGCCATCAGTTGGAAAGATGACCATAGTAATTAGATTTACTTTCAAATTGATTACAGCTTTTAAATAACTGCAATGTTGGAAGTTTGTGTTTTCTTTTGATTTAAATATTTAATCATTTTTTCTTATCCTTTCAGAAGTGGCACATTATATAACATATCATTAAGAAAATCAATAGCCAATCTTCCTTAATAAACTAATTCAAATCATATTTTCCAAAGAACAAACTTTCAAGCATTGAATTTAGACAATTTCTGAGAAATAATCATTCAAATTACAATTTAAATAAATTGTATGGTAGAAGCACTATAATGAATAGTTGAATTACTTATTAACCTTGAAAATTCGATAGATGAATAATTGATGTTGTTCAACTCCGTATCCCTAGGATTTAGAAATATTCTAAACATCTCGTAGCACGAATAATTCCATTGAAGAGAGGTTATTGCTCTATTGATCTAATTCCTTGGACCATTTCTTTTATATAAATTCATAAATTCAGTAAAGTAATAAATCTTCAGTTACCCAGATTTGATAGAATTCCAAAAAGGAGATACATTACTGTCATTTTGATGGAATGAATAAAACATTGTAAAAAATTTTTCGGTGGCAAGCATGTGAATTATAAATAAAATTTATTGGAACGTGTATGAATGTACTCATGATGATAACAGAGTATGACAAATGAAGAATAAAATAAATTTTGTGCTATTAACATCATGTCATAAGCTTTCTCTCTCTCATTCTACACACTGCAAGCATGCATATATTTTCATAGTGACAATAGGTTTATTATTGTCCAGTGGCTCATATAACTGTATTCATTGTTATTATGTTGTTTATACACATTAGCATCTATTTTATTGGAAAAAATTGTATGGTGATTGCCTTTATAGAACACGTGCACGAACAACCTGTTGCTTTGGACATGAAAATTGAGGAAACTTGACCTTGTAAAGGCAATCTACATATTCGACATTTTCTATCATGCGACATGCCTATGACATTGCTTCAAATACTTTGTAGGAAATAGTCGAAATCAATAATGACATTATATGCACATGATTGATAAAAATTTCATGAAGGAAATGAGAAATATGGAACTTAAAGCTTGCCTTCTATCTTGTCTTTCTTGCATTGCTTTTATAGTGAAAATTGATTTCTTATTTCAATTTCAATCTGCTACCAACCAATGCGATGTAATGAAATATTGAATAAAACTACTTCCTTTTTATTTTCTTCTTCTGTGCTTTATTTTGTGCTTCACTTTAAATAAAATGCTTTTTAGCTAAAGCATCTATGACGAATGATTGTATTTGCGACATTTTGTATGGCTTTATGTATCCATGGCATTCAATATAAAAGTAACTTGTTCGTAGCTAGGTATGGGGTTTCAAATGGTTCTAGATTTTGGATGCGCAATAAATTCCTTATTTTTAGTAGCATCATCATTCTTGCCTTCTATTTATATAATGTAAATCTTCTGGTTTATATTGCAACGTCTTCACTATGCATCTGAAGGTTACTTGATATTCAAAACAGTTAAATAAGAACTTTTTCCTTTACTTATTCACAATTCACAGTGAAAAGGGAAGCTAAAAAAAGGAACAAAGTTAAATTCTTTATTCATTTTATTTCCCAATCGAATTTTTTTTCCTTGTTAAAAGAAGAAATGCTTGGATGATATTTATAGTGTACATTGTAATTTTAAAATGCTGTGCATTGATGCACTAAGGTTGAAAAGTCGATTATAGATTTTTGTTGAGTGTAGAAGAAATAGAATAGAATTGTTTGGCGATCATTCTAATCCAAAGAGAATTAAAATTTTAATAACATAAAAATTATTTGTAAATACAAACCCTTTGAACATATCCCACCGTGAGGAAACAAATTGAAAAAAAAAATTAATTTTAAAATAAAAATGAATTTTTTCACCATCGACGGTTTGAGAACAAATCTCAAATGTAAAAATTCATCCTCGACTGTTACCAATTTGCAAAGCAGACACACCACGTGAAAATCATATATCAATATTTGTCATGTAGAATTTTGTTTATTCATCGTATGAATTTTCTTCAATATGTAATGAAAAAATTATAAATAAAACTTAATTTTTTTTCAGTTCTGATTCCTCCTACAGTCAAATCACAACAAAATGTTCAATACAACGCAAAATTAATTTTCCTCTTTGACGCATTTCTGTTAGCTTAATTTTGTAAAACAATTGAAAATTTTGCACGACCAAATCAGAAGTTTGTTGTTTTTCCTTTTGATTTGAACTTTAAATCCTAATTCGTTTAAAGTTTAAAACATGAAGGACGTAACAGAACAGATTAATTGAATAATTGTCCAATTCAAAGATGAATTGATGAATACTTGTGTGATTAGCTTAATGTTAAATGAAAGTTGAATGAATGACATTGGCAAAAGTTATACTAAGGATATATACAAGAACATTGCATCCACAACAAATTTTCTCTGAAAGCTGATTTTCAACCAAAATTCGCTTTAGTCATCAACTGAGCAGCAAGATTCTTTACTAAATTCTTTTTTGATCTGATACACGATATTAAAAGTCAGGAGTTGTTGTATTTTTTTTGATAAAATATTTATAGGAACGGAATTACTTAAGGAGAGACAATCAGAGCGAATGAAAAAAAATTCTCTTTATGAAACTGAAGTACAAAAGCTGTTCATGTAAAGCATTATTCTTCATAAAAGTCACGACTCATGACCTGAATACAAGTAATATTGTTTCATATTTACTCGCTCGAGCGAACGAAAATATTATTTTTTTTTTCATCTATAGCCTTAAGACACTTGTTCAACAAGTGCACTAATTAATAATTTTTTCTACTTGCTTTTTCAACTCAAAAGCTTCGAGGAAATTTCCACACAAAATCCCCTTCTTTCCGCATCTCATGCACTCATGTATGCTTTAAAATTGAATTTGAAAAGTAATTAAAATTCATCAAGTGGTTGGAGATGCACGATTGCCATAGAACATATAGACACACATACCGAAAGCAACACAATAGTAATGGAAAACTTGATTATCTATCACACGAATTTTGATGGTATTAAATATTCATGCAGCATTTCATTTATTGTTTACTGAACTCTTGCGTGACTTGCTGACTGATTTGATGCTCATCATATTTTTCGATGTGAGAATTAACAGCGAAATGACCTTCAATTCTGACATTTGTTGTGCATTTTCATTTATTGTAAAATCTTTTCATTTCATCGCTGTTGATTAAGATTCTCGGGTAAAGGGAATCAAATATTTGAAACAATTTAATCACGACACGATTTGATATTAAATGTGAAGTAGGAAAATGGATTTTATTATCAAAAATCCTATTCTTTGGTTGAGCAAGGTGACCAACATTCTTGTTATGTCACTGATCCTAGCTTCAAAATTTTTTATTTACGTCCCAATTAATTTTCATGCGAAAAATAAAATAAAAATCTTTTCAAACTGATTTTGCACCTGAAAAAATGCGGATTAAACTATTTTATTTTCTGATTTTTCTCATTTTAATGTAAACTTTTTGACATTTTGAACAGAAACCGACAGGAACTGAGTATAAGCTGATATATTCATTATTTATTAAGTATTCCTTATTATTCTGAGTATTTTCATCTATTTAAATTATTCATAGTAATTCAATGTCAGATGAAATTATTTATACATGACATAAGTTGTCAGATATTTTTTTCAATATGTGTAAAATTCCAGAGGAATGAACTTTTAAGTTTATCTTTAGTGAGGCTCAGACACGCAGCTAGGAGGATTTGAGGTATTTTTAGATTTTAAGATTCTAGAAATTTTAAAAACTCTAATTGAAACTAAAGCTAACCCATAAGACCAAATAGAAATACGATTTGATTAAGTTAATTTCAACAGGCATTTTGTAAGAACTATAAAATAAGAAAATTTTAAAATTTATTAAAAACACCTGAAACTTCTTAAATGCAGAAAATTCAAACATTTGTTTCTGCAAGGTCAAAAACTGCAATCATTCATTTAAAAATGCAAACTTCGTGCTGAATATTATCCTAATTCCATAGATTCATTAAACCTCTTGTGATTCGGATTAGCTTGAAACTTTCCGCAAAATTAAACAAAGTTTCTTAATTGATTTTAATCATTCATAAAAAGGTCATGGTCCACAGCAGGGGCGTAGCCAGGGGGGGGGGGGCCATAGGGGGCCCGGGCCCCCCCCTACGAAAATCTGATAATTGTTTTATTAAGTATTTATAGAGAAGAACCAGTTAATGTAGAGGAAGTGATGAAAGAAATGTCAAAATCAGCACGAAAAATTAAATTTAATCTATGAATAATGAATTAAATATTTAAACTTATGAAGAATGAATATAGATTTAAGGATACAAAATAACAATTTTTTTAATTTTCGAAAATGGGCCCCCCCCCCCCTCTTAAAAATTTTCTGGCTACGCCTCTGGTCCACAGTCAGATTAATATTTTTTCTGCTCCAGAAGTTGTGCTTTAACAATGTGAGGACTTACATTTTCATAAAATACAAGTGGTTATCGGTTTCAGGTGAACTAGCTGTATGTGTGGCGATGAAAATTGGACAATTATTCAAATACCTTAATTACAATGTAACATTATTAATTTTAATTGTTATTCCAGCAGACGATAAAATACAAATG